ATTGGTGAACTAGTTTGTCATCATCTGCATCTTAATGGATAAGACTTTTCCACAGAAAGGCAAAATAAATATGAAAAGCGGTAAAACGTACGTTTCGAAATATAACCATTTTTAGTAACATAGGCGCAAATTATCTCGGAGTTCTGTCTTGATGTAGGAGATTATATTTTTTGCTAGTTATCCATGATAATGCAGTGCGATGTTGCTTTAAACCTAGGAATTCATATTTTTGTTTCAGTGTCCGTCATTATTACGAAGTTAAAAATATATTTATATGTTGAATTTGAGGGTAGTAATTTTCTCGAGATTCGGAATCGAAAATCTTGGTTTCTTTGACTTCTGTGCTCAACAAATTGCGAGTTGAGAGACTACTAAATATATTACGTGTTTTACAAAGCTTCTTTTCCTCGTCATAGTGTATAAGTCTATAGGCAACCAGACATTTACACGTTTGGACTAGGATTGAAAGAATTCAAAATTTACAATCTGGATCTGGCTAATTTGTTAAATGTTTATTGAATGCAGGTTTTTTAAGTAAATCCCAGGTTTGAATAGCACGAAGTATTATAGCGATATATCGAGTCAGCGCAGTAGATTTGTAAATTTAGAAAGCATAGTCAACGGTATCGAGAAAAATCTTCATAACAGATCAGGTAATATGTCGCCACTGTATTTACATTTTTGGGAATCAAACATCCAAAAGTGAAAAAACCAACAAGCCCATAATCCATCAAAACATGATTTCAAACCTAAAATTCTTTAAAATGATGATATATTGTATATTATACGGTTATCATTTATTGCAAAACCACAATACGGTAGAACAGTCGTCGCGTCGTGGCATTGAGAACAGATTTACGACGTTATCAGGGTTTAGATATTATAATTTCAATGGATTATGTTACAAATTCTAATGAAGAAAGTACAACGATAGGATCTAAATGTCAAAATTAGTGACGTCGAAATAAAGTGGGTATGTGATTTTTCATTCAATATTTCTACATTTATTTTACCCACAACACAACGTTATGACATACAGATATATATACGCAGTTGTGCATATCGAAGATTTCTCGATATTTCTATTAAATGTCGTCTATCAAGGATGAAAGGCTGACATTACGTTGTATTGTATGCATTGTATTTTTAGTGGTGGTCCGTACTTCATAGCGTACTTTGTTTTCTGTTTGGGTTTACTGAAGCCCGCCCGGCATGAATTATTCAAGACGATGCGTTCTAAAAGAGAAAATACATTTATGAAAAGTACAATACTCTTCCGTTTAGGTCAGCTCTTTGAATATTAAATCCCATTATAGATGTTTCCCGTCACAAAATGATAATAATGGTTTAATAGCGTTCACAATATAATGCGTTATTATAATATATGTGAAAAATAAAACCTTCTCACACAAGGGTCAGATCGCCCAAGAAAGAAGATGCGCACATTCCCATTTTAATATCGTATTAGACTTCAAAGAATAACAAAGCTCGAAATAAAAGAGAATTGAAATCTGCGCGTCATAAAAAGATCACGGTAATACTAGTAACCTAGCTGGGATATATATTTTGTTAATGGCGGATTAAAGTATTCCCGTGAAAGCACTCGATGGATGTGAAGCATCTATTTAATGTATTGAATCAATAATTCGAAAAGTAAACAGAATCAGCTGACTTAGTTAAATCAGAGGTTTAGTTCATGAATTTGAATGTATTTCTGAATTATCAGTATTTTAATATAATTTCGCAGGTGTTCTTGTCTCAGTTGATAGATTATGGATTTGTGGATATTTATACTACAATTTGTTTGATGTTATTTGTTCCTCTCATAAAGGTTCACCGCTGGTGCCATTGGTGAACTAGTTTGTCATCATCTGCATCTTAATGGATAAGACTTTTCCACAGAAAGGCAAAATAAATATGAAAAGCGGTAAAACGTACGTTTCGAAATATAACCATTTTTAGTAACATAGGCGCAAATTATCTCGGAGTTCTGTCTTGATGTAGGAGATTATATTTTTTGCTAGTTATCCATGATAATGCAGTGCGATGTTGCTTTAAACCTAGGAATTCATATTTTTGTTTCAGTGTCCGTCATTATTACGAAGTTAAAAATATATTTATATGTTGAATTTGAGGGTAGTAATTTTCTCGAGATTCGGAATCGAAAATCTTGGTTTCTTTGACTTCTGTGCTCAACAAATTGCGAGTTGAGAGACTACTAAATATATTACGTGTTTTACAAAGCTTCTTTTCCTCGTCATAGTGTATAAGTCTATAGGCAACCAGACATTTACACGTTTGGACTAGGATTGAAAGAATTCAAAATTTACAATCTGGATCTGGCTAATTTGTTAAATGTTTATTGAATGCAGGTTTTTTAAGTAAATCCCAGGTTTGAATAGCACGAAGTATTATAGCGATATATCGAGTCAGCGCAGTAGATTTGTAAATTTAGAAAGCATAGTCAACGGTATCGAGAAAAATCTTCATAACAGATCAGGTAATATGTCGCCACTGTATTTACATTTTTGGGAATCAAACATCCAAAAGTGAAAAAACCAACAAGCCCATAATCCATCAAAACATGATTTCAAACCTAAAATTCTTTAAAATGATGATATATTGTATATTATACGGTTATCATTTATTGCAAAACCACAATACGGTAGAACAGTCGTCGCGTCGTGGCATTGAGAACAGATTTACGACGTTATCAGGGTTTAGATATTATAATTTCAATGGATTATGTTACAAATTCTAATGAAGAAAGTACAACGATAGGATCTAAATGTCAAAATTAGTGACGTCGAAATAAAGTGGGTATGTGATTTTTCATTCAATATTTCTACATTTATTTTACCCACAACACAACGTTATGACATACAGATATATATACGCAGTTGTGCATATCGAAGATTTCTCGATATTTCTATTAAATGTCGTCTATCAAGGATGAAAGGCTGACATTACGTTGTATTGTATGCATTGTATTTTTAGTGGTGGTCCGTACTTCATAGCGTACTTTTTTTTCTGTTTGGGTTTACTGAAGCCCGCCCGGCATGAATTATTCAAGACGATGCGTTCTAAAAGAGAAAATACATTTATGAAAAGTACAATACTCTTCCGTTTAGGTCAGCTCTTTGAATATTAAATCCCATTATAGATGTTTCCCGTCACAAAATGATAATAAACTTGCATTTTCGATTAAAAGTCTCAACGTTAAAAACATATATATGTCCTGTGTATATATTGACACCGTGAGGGAGTATTCCGTCACGACAGATTTTTTGGACTCACAACATCAAACTTCTTTTTTATTCCTCCATAGAGCTTGTTTTGCCTAGCAATAAGAAGATAATTTATCAGACATGTTTTCGATAGTAATGAAGCTTATCATTTTTCCTTATTCAGATGGTGAAATGAAACCCGAAAATATATTTTCCTATGAAGTAACAATATTATCTCTTTTCCCCACGTTTAGACAGCTGGCGACGTCGTTGAATTGATCGCCGCTCCGATAATAAAGATAATGTTTATTATTTACTCTTATTTCTCATTTATGCAAATTACAACGTAAGTGTAGGAAAACAAAGTTAGTTTAAGACCACCCTTACTGAAATCACGACATGTAACGTGTCCTTATCGATGCTAATCTGACTCTTTGCGTTGGATGATGTAATTTTTGGGCATGACTACGATAAAGATAAATCGTGACTACAAAATTACTCTCAGAAAACCGGATTGTAAAAATAGCTTCACTTTTTCAAAATTGATGCGTAACCGCCAAAAACGGATATCATTTTGAATTTTCCTATTATAAGATCATACCAATCTATTGATTGACGCTTGATCCATTCCGCAATGACATGAGAACAAATCCTCATATTAGAAAGATCATTGAAGTTTCGATAACGTTCGTCTCTCATTTTGACTGACTAATAATTCACAAATTACGAATTAAGCCTGCAATAGAGTAGGAATTCATCGCATCGTTCGAAACATTCTCGAATTTTGATGTTTCCATAAGAGCATTGAAAAAAAGTACAGATTGACGTACACCACACACGCGACCGATTTCATTTTCATTCAACGCTGCCATTGTTACGTTAAGACTTGATATTGACAGTAGACAATGACGCTTAGCCCCTTTTAAGTATATATATAAGTAGTAAGTCTAAGTAGCTTTCGATAGAATAAGTAAAGGATATCTATTATAGCTGATATTCAATCATGTTTGAATGAATCAAGGTAGCAGGTTAAAAGTTGATACAATACGGCATATTTGGGTATCATGAAAGTCCATTTTAGGCGATAGTACAGGCGGCGGATTTAGAAAGTGTTGAAGGACAAGCCATTGTCTTTTGTATTTATTCAGGGAATTGCGGTGAACGTGAAAACCTTATTAGAAAACTATTTTTAATATTTCGAATGGAAAATGTGTATATAATAATATTAAGATTGCCTATGGCATAAAATATAATTCCGAAATGAAGTTATTTATTTAATTTAAGAAAGATTCATGTTTTGACACCAAATGTACCGTTAAAAAAATCTCCATGGATTTAATCTGACATGACAAAATGTTATTTACTGGATATAAACAGTAATTCGATGGATTTGTGAAGCAAAGATTCGCTCGATCTGTTGCATGATGGAGATTGATCTGTCAGTTATCTTGAACAACCAGAAAGGTAAATACCATTTTTAAACATAATTTGTCAAATGAACAGCTTTTCATAGACAACTTAAATACCAAATATGTGTGGAGGGTATGTATGTATATATATATATACAATCGCGAAAAATAGATGAGCTATGTATAGAATGAGGATCAATTCATAATTGAGAGAAGTTTTTCCGGAGTTTGAATATTTCAGACCAGTTTAGTCAGATAAGCTAGTGAATGCAGAATTATGTCTTATTCTTTTATTTACAGTACTATCATTGCACTAATCTATTAAAGAAGCACTCTAATATTATATTCAATTTCAAAATGATATACGAAAACACTTCTCATTTGCTCAACATTTTCTGTTTTCTTAAACATACTATACTAATCATAAGCTTGACGTGATCACACATGAATGAAAATCAAATCGAGCATAATTAAAAATGGCGGTAATTGATTCTGAAAGTGGTGATTCAACCTCAGTTTCAATTCAACAAAATGTAAACGATAGAGATGCGTCCAAGAAAGTTAAAATAGACGGATCTCAAACTCGATGGATCATCATTACATTGGTAATGTATTACTTCCTGGCAGAAGGATTCACAAAAACATGTTTTGGACAAGTGAACAACATTGTGGCAAGATTTTTCGATGTTAGTTTGGAGTATGTGGATTGGCTGACGCTGGCTCCGGCTGCTTCCAGTGCAGTATCGTTATTTTTTATGACTTGGATGGCAGCTTCTGGATTAGTGGGACTTCGAAGATGGTGTCTCACTTCTGCTGGGTTCATCACGTTGTCGTTTGCTTTCACAGTGACAGGAGTTCTCGGAAGGTAAATGTTTTCAATGGTTTTCTTTTATAAAATATAAGCTTTTCTCAATTTAAAACGGTATCAAAAATTGAAAATAAAGTTCGAATGATTCTTAGGGATAATTCATTAAAATTAAAAACGAGGAAAATTCGGAATCAATTTACAAAAATTATTTCAATTAGGTAGACTAATACGATGCGCGCATGCCCGTAATTGTTACGGCGGGTTGTGGTAACGCTAGGCTAGACCAATGGTTATAAACCTTTTTCCTTTCTTGCCCTACTTTTGTTGCACAAAAAATTCTGCGGCCCATTAACTTTCTCATGCAAAGGAAAAACTACAAGAAAAACATAAATTTTTCCTCAAAGATAGACACTTCCACTTTAATAATTAAAGTAGCTCAGTAGCAAAAACAGCATCATCATTCATTGCTACTAGGCTATTCATTGCTAAATGTTTCTAGGGCCCAGAAGTGGGTCATGGCCCACTGGTTGGGAATAGGTGAGCTAAACATTGTTGTACGTCTGAACTGCTTGTCTGAGGAAGGCTGACTCTGGCTTGAAACGTTACAGAAACACATTTGTATTAGTGTGCGCCGGAGTCTTGAATTACATATAGCTTGTAAATTTTGTTTTACTTTTTATGGAAAGGTGTTACATAAATTCCCATTAACCAAGTTTCTAAAACACCAAATTTTCTGGCACAAACTTACATCTCGATATAAATGTTATAGCACCCAAAAATTATTTTAGCAGCCCATAGAATGCGGTTGAAGAATATTGCGATATTCGATTTTGCGGCAGCGTTTCTTTTAATAATTTAATATTTGACGTATATTCAAGGCACGAATACAATTTTAAATATTCCATCTTTGAACATTTTGAAATTTTAATTCAAATTACTCGGCCAATCGATGACGTTCGATAATTGAAAATAGTTTTATTCGTTGCCGAACCTTTAGTAAATTGATTTTATTATCAGATTGTCTCGCAAAGATTCATTTAAAATTAAAATTTACATTTTTCCTGCTAAATCATTTTCTCCGTACCCAGATATGGGCTGTAGATTAACTGCTGTTTAAGAACTTCATCAACAATTTCCCCGTTGAGGTAAAATTGATGCAAACCAAGCAATTTAATAAATTGCAAAATAAAAGTAACATTGAAGGGATTTATTGCGGTAAATTTATATAGCACCAATTCGATAAATTTCTATTTAGGTTTGTTAGTTAATTTTTTTTAATTAGGAATATAGAATATGGCGTGTCATCATTGGTGATGGCATATATAGGTACATGATCGAGTCGAGATGATTTTGTGGTATTTTTCAATTTCGTTATCTTGTAAATGACAAGAACATTATCGATAGCTATATAACGAAGGAAGTACATACATGCTATGATATATATTAAATTGACTAGAATGGTTACGGAAGACCTCACTTATAATATTCTTGTTCGACATTCCTTCTCACGGATGTTGATCTCACAAAAGTAATGAAAATGTAGACTACAATTATGAAACAATGGTATATGAAACAGGGTTCGTTACAAAATATAGTTTTTAGCGATATTATTCTTTACATTAATATGAGAACAACCAATATTAAACTACGATATAAATTGTGGGGATTCGCCTTTTGTAGCAGCGTGTAATTTTAAATTTCGTGTTGTTGTGGAATTTCTAATATCCCGAGCTCAGTTTGCGCATTTAAAGGCAAAAATTACATGTTGTCGTCTCTTCATACATCAGAGGGATTACGGGCCTTCACACTGTCGACAAAAATAGAAAAATCCTCTCATTTTTGCTGGTAGCCAGATTAGTAACAGGTATTTTTATTTCCGTAAATTGTAGAAAACTAACGATTTAATTGAAGACATCTGTACAATTATATCTTATTTTCAAACTATATCTTATAACTTTGGATATTTCAGTTAATTTGTAAGTTTTATTTACAATACGTTGAACATTATTTACAGTCACATAATTTCCTTGAGTTAACAGCACCCAATTCTTTATTAAATCCCACACTTTCTAAACGAAATTTACAGGTTCACAATTTTTTTTGATTGCTTGGTGCATTATATGAAACGTTGTTTTGCAGGCACTTATTTCCATTGGCTGTGCTCGGGCAAATTCTAGCTGGAACAGTTCATGCCATCAATTTTTCACTGGCGCCCTTAATGGCTTCAAGTTGGTTTCCTGAGAAAGAGCAACCGACAGCAATTGCGTTAACTTACGCAGGACTGAACGCTGGAAATATAGTAGGATTGTTGATTCCGGCAAACGTTGTACCAAAAACAAATGACACGAATGGTACGATGATGTCGCTAACTATTGACGGCGAAATCGAGTGGGATGAAAAAATTTCGATGGCCCTGACAGCAATATTTTCGTCATTTCTGGCAGCATCGCTTGTATTTGGATTTTTTTCGTTTCTTTTTATATTTGATGCTCCAAGTCCAATGCAGTTACCTGATAATCAGACAGTAGTGGAAGAAGAAAGATATCAAATGCGCAAAAAGAAGAGAAAGGAGTCAGCTTTTCAAATCCGGATCAATAAAGCAAGGAGTGCTACAAAAGGCACAATCGCGGTTTGGGTTCAGTCATCGAAAAACCTCCTGACAATGAGGAAATTCATGGTATTAGCGATACCATACGGTATTTTAATGCCGCTGTGTTTGATATGGTTTGTTCTCATGTCAGATATGCTTCGTTCAACTCGTTTTGAAACTGTGATATTTTTAGACATTTCAGCAGAAAACATTTCAACATCGAACGCTCTTTTTAAAACATCATCAAATGTAATGGCCGGTTATGCCGTGTCATTGTATTGCGTTGGCGGACTAATCTCCGGAGCATTTACGGGAAAAGTTGCACAACTTTTCAATTTTCATTATGCTAGAATATCTTGCGGTGCCACTTGGGGCGTTGTTATGGCTTCGGTGGGAATATTTGTTGGCTTTTCAGTAGGTTCTATCGAATGTATATTTGTATTTACATTAATTTTTGGCCTGTTCGTGCCAGTGGCGGCTACGGCTCTAGTTGCTTTAGTCATAGAACGCGTAACAAGTGAAGACCGTCTAACGGTTGGTACATGGCTTGCGATATTTTCGTCAGCAAACGCGTCACTCCTTCCGTTATTTGGAAGAATATTTTTCGAAAATTTTGGCCCTAGTTCAATTTGTATTTTTCAAATAACTCTTGCGACAGTTCTAGCCATTTTTCTTATTTTTGTTGGTCGCTTTCTACAATAAGCGGATTCACGGCAATTTTGAAACTTTTTGCCAGAATTCAAATCTCGACTATATGCTTGTCAGTTCAAAATACTTATTGTTTATACCGGTAATTATATTTTTTATGGATTGCTAACAATAAGTTGAATTTATTCAAATCTACGATAAAAAAAAATTGGCCACCGCTGATTTTTCATTATGCATCTTTGAAAGCTTTTCCTTGCTTATTCATTATTTTTTTATAATTATTTTTTATTGTTTCATTTTACCACTTTCTCGTCTCCTCAACTTCTTCATTTACCTATATTTCTCATTTATATATTATCAAATATTTTGAAATTCTCAACATGAGATCTGTATCAGTTTTGATTATGTAGCATATTAGAAATAATGTTGATATTTTAATTTAAAAATGCATGACGTACACAGAATAGACCTCTATTTGTTAATTTGTACCATGTTCAATGTTGCGCATATCAATATTGGAACATAAGGTTTTGTATCATTCAGTATGCAGGAATAAATGGTGAACTGCTTAGTAAAGCTGTTCCCACACACTCCTGGTAGGGCAAGAAACCGTTCTCAGTGCCTCCTCCGAAGTGGGCTACTGCACTTCATCCATGCATAATCCTGTGTTTTTCGCAGCTGTATATTCTGTTACAACTACATTTATATTTTACTATCGATAGGTAATTTGACAGTCTCTGTGTAAAGTGTGGAATATTTGTATTTCTTTTTTTTAGTTAATCATGCACTTTGTTCAATTTTCTGTTGGTAGTGATGTAAATAAAACGGTTCCATTATCTTTGAACTCGCGTACATTTGAACCCGTACATCTGAACCCAGAACAATTGCACCTGTATACTATTGCACCTATGGACATTTGCACCTACGGACATTTGAACCCATACATTTCCACCCGTGAATTTAAGCACCCGCATATAGATTGAACCCGCGGACATTTGAACCCGTGTACGTTTGCACCCGCGTACATTTGAACCCATGTACATTTGCACCCGCGGACATTTAAACCCGTGTACGTTTGCACCCGCGTACATTTGAACCCATGTACATTTGCACCTGCGGACATTTGAACCCATGTACATTTGAACCCACGAACATTTGCACCCGCGGACATTTGAACCCATGTACATTTGAACCCACGAACATTTGCACCCGCGGACATTTGAACCCATGTATATTTCCACCCACAGACATTTGAACCCACGTATATTTGAACCCGCGTACATTTGAACCCACGGACATTTGAACCCGCGTATATTTGAACCAACGTATATTATATTTGAACTCGCGTACATTTGAACCCACGTACATTTTCACAAAAAATGTTTGCCCCAACGGCAATTTCCAGTCGCAAATAATTTTCATGTTACAGGCGCAAGCTCAATATTCTAAATTTCAACACTGTTTCACTTGTAGTTAGTTTTGGTGTATATGCATTTACCCGCTTCTACGAAGCAAGCATTTTTGAGTGTCATTGTAGTCCGAGGGATAAACGTCTCTTAACGATATAAACAACATTGTTTTGCCAAGGTCTTTTTTCTTTTGCTGTTTTTTTTACATTGACATTTGTAAATTCTTATCTCATTCGTTAGCCGCGATCTCCAAAACAGACGATGACCTAGAAAGCGGTATTTCGTTGAAATACCTGAAACCAGGGCTAATACGGAACAAATATCTCACAGACCAATGAAGTCTTAATGAGGGTCTTACTAAAACTAGCTTTACAGTAATATTTTTAGTGGTCAACTCCTATAAGTTTGTTCTGAAATTATTGCACCGAAAACGCCTACTATGATATCCCGCCCAGCATGAGATTTGGGCCTCTGTGGCCACTTCATGTCTTCTTGCTAGCATGTTTACAAAATTGTTATATGTATGCATACACACGACCACGCTTTACTGTTGAAAATAAGTGTTGTCTCAAATCAGGTTTTGCCATTTTTCCTAAAATCAATCTATAAATTGAATACTATTGTCTGTATATAAATAAATAAACGCACAGATTCTTCGTTTCTAAGAAAATATGAAATTAAGATAATGAAACTATGCCATTTTTGTAACAACATGTTCATAGCCAAATGCCAGTTTTATTGAAGTATTGTTTCATTAGAATGTCAGAACAAAACTATACATAGAAATCGTAAGTCAAGTAAATATGTTGAATATTCGAAAGTGAAGAAGTTTTAAAACCATTATCGTGGCCAAAAATGGTTTTTGCTGTTTACACTATTTAGAGTAAATCGAACATATTCAGCATATAAGGTCTGTTAAATATATTATTGCAATTTACAAACGACGTCATAGGTTACGGATTACATTTATTTTAATATCTCAATAAAGTTATCACTCACAAATTTGTGTCGAATGGGCGATCAATTTTGAGATAGAGTAGCTATGGACGTTTTACAAAATAGGAATTTATCAATTATGATACAATAGTTAAACAACAAATCAAAATAATGACGATAAACGAAGTTTTACGATATCACGATCAAAGTCAAAATCAAATAGACTGCATTTGAGCTATTGAGTCGAGATACCTCAGCTTGTCGGTTTCAGTTCCATATGAAAAAACTTTAACTGACAACCTAACAGCAAGTTGTACATACTTTGAATTTTGGTGGCCCGTAACTCCTACATGAGCATTTGCCGCAGTCAGTTTGTGGACCGCAATGTCTTTTCGTAGGCCATTCAGCAAACCCCATATACTCGGATGTTTGCATCGGAACATTCCTTGTAAGGCGTTGTGAAATCCTTCTACAGCGTTTGTTGTTCTTGGGGCCGAAGGCATCATTTCAATCTTTTTGGCATAGTTCCACAATCGAGGAGAAATCTTGCTTCTCTTGGACGTGAACCCACTTGAGGTCCACGAATGTAGGTAGATTCAAAATATTTCAAAAGTTGGGAACAAAAGCCAGAGCTGCCAAACTTCTAATTTTCAGATTGAAAGAGGGTAAACATTCAAACTTCTCTTTTAATCCGATAGAACCAACTTTTCGAATTATAGCTTGTGACAGGTGAAAATAACATCCTTTAATATCGGCCAAAGGAAATTGTGCATGGAATGTATTGATAGCTGCTATTTCAAAATCAACAATGATTTTGGGGGGGGTTAGCATTTGGGAAAATGATTTTCAACACTTCCAACATCTGAACGTATGTTTCTTGTCGCTTGTCTCGTAATAGGAAATATACGCATGGTGGATAGGATGCGCCCACTTTACAGTGAATTGTATACAACTGGAAAAAAATATCGGGCACCACATCAAATGTACCGTCGCCAAGATATGTGTCACTATCTAGATGTGCAAGTATTGATCGATCTCCAATGGCCATTATCCGATGACGATACTCCGGGCCAGTGTCATGCAAAATGATATCTAAATATTCGCTCGGAATATCGAAGCTTGCACTTGTAGGATTCGTACGTGAACAATTTTTCTGTCGCCTTACTCTGCGTATATTGGCCTCCAGAGTCGACTTGCCTGGCAAGCGCATTAGTACATCTGTTGATCTATTATTCAATACTTCACCTAAAATATATCTTGTCGATGTATTTGATGGTGTTGATGCTGCTTCTTTTAATGTTGCACGGATGATCCCAACTTCAGTCTTAAAGCTGTCGCCAGAATGACTGTGATATCCTAGTTCTTTTATTACATTTTCACCGATCGTAACAACAGTCGATTTACATCAAAATTTCCTAAACTGACGGCAGCGCCAATGAGTAGCATCTGAAACCCGATCATTTCGCTTACAATATTCGTGGGTTTTGTAAATCAGTAAGTCGTTTCCTCTTGTGGTCTTGGAAAATGTAGGCGCCATGTTTCCAACTTATTTTCGCAAAGGGACTTGTCATCTTCGCAGCTGCAACGTCCTGAAGAAACAGTTTGGAATTGTCTGCGAGGGAAAAAGGGCATTGGTGCGAGGAAAAACTTTGCGCGGGATCGAACTAACACATCAATTAAAATCCTTGCTCGCGCTCTTCAAGAGTCGTCGACCATTCAAAGCACAAATCATACTCCCCAATTTTGGCTCGCATTCTACAGCGGAACATTTTGTCCATTGAGTCTTATGATATCGACAATTGCGATGACAATGACAGATGGAGTATAATATAAATATATAATATAATTTAAATATATAGAAAATAGTTGTAATAAAGCCTTCGAGTATATAATCGAGAATTCCGTGGTAATATTGATTGTTTTCGCAACGTATGCATTTGGAGAAAGAATCCTAAGTGTACCTTCCAATCCTATATACCAGGGGTGGCCAACAAGTCGATCGCGATCGACCGGTCGATCGCCACGTTTCGAGTAGTCGATCGCGTCTGATGTTGAGTGAATTTAATAACATACCCAAAAAAATGGCCTTGAACCGGTTTAATACAGCGCCTGTTGTGTGTTTTAAACAGGAAGAATATAGTACTGTACATGCGAAAAATACGATATACACATGCGGTAATTTGGTATGGACAAGCCCGATAGAGCAAATCATTATGTAATAAATGCAAGTTTCACTGCTGCCAAGTTTTAGAAATGAACTTGCAGAATATCGTGTGTCTCGACTGGCAAACAATCCTACAATAATTTCTTCTACACTATGCGAAAGTTATTGTCTCACTCCAAAGAGTATGTGTGATAAATTTTATTTGCAACGGTAGCAGTGGCATCAAAATGCCAAATTTTTTTCTAATTCTAAGCAAGCAAAAAAGTGGATTTGAAGAAAATTGTAAATTAGATACTGAAGTTTTAGCAGTCATGTGATAATAATACATGGATATTTTTCAAGGTTTTTTGAGGAATTGAAAACTCTTACGACTAAAAATTAGACAGGCCCTATATCTGAATTGTATGATTTGAATAAATCTAAAATAAATAATGAAACATTTACTCCGGGTACAATTATATATTCAAATTAACAAATTGAATGGAATATATAAAATGCAAATTTTTGAGGCAATTTCATTGAGAATGCGCCCGCAGAACCAAGCTTATTATTACCGAGCAGCGGTGGAATTTTTGTATGCGTGTGTGCGGTTATCTGCGTATTTAGTATTCATTCATTTTTGTTTATGACCTTATTACCGATTAGTCGATCGCGAAGTATTTTGAAGATTTTAGTCGATCGCGAACGAAAGCAAGTTGGCCACCCCTGCTATATACTATAGTATATAGCATGGAAGTATAAGGGTGTATATGTGAAGACGCTAATATCCGTAAATGCAAATGCCCATGGGTGTAGATGTTCATGGGTGCAAATGTCTGTGGGTACAATTGTACGCGGGTGTAAAAGTACGCGGGTGTAAATGTATATAGGTTCAAATGTCCGCGGGTGCAAATGTACATGGGTTCAAATGTCCGCGGGTGCAAATGTTCGTGGGTTCAAATGTACATGGGTTCAAATGTTCGCGGGTGCAAATGTACATGGGTTCAAATGTACGCGGGTGCAAACGTAGACGGGTTCAAATGTCCGCGGGTGCAAATGTACATGGGTTCAAATGTACGCGGGTGCAAACGTACACGGGTTCAAATGTCCGCGGGTTCAATCTATATGCGGGTGATAAAATCCACGGGTGGAAATGTATGGGTTCAAATGTCCGTAGGTGCAAATATCCATAGATGCAATAGTATACAGGTGCAATTGTTCTGGGTTCAAATTACAGGTTCAGATGTACGGGTTCAAATGTACGTAGGTTCAAATGTGCTGTCACCAAATAAAACACATTTTAAATATATACCATTCATGTGGACTTTCTTTTGACAACGTTTAAATTAGACCGCAACTTACTATTTAGGCTTCATAGCAGATCACACCTCTCAACTCGGTATATTTTGCACTTTGATTCTGCCCATGCTACAGGATGCTGATATATATTGAGTTCCTTCTTTTTGACTTTCTTTCCTTCTTTTTCGCTCCAAGACAAGGCTGCCCGGGTTTATGCTATACGAATAAATTACCCTTCGAGGATGATATATATGTATAGTTTTCTGAAACTTGCTTAGTTTGACTTTGAATCCTGAATTATACATCTCAACAGAGCCGAAGATATATAATCCCTGACTAATTTCACGAATCTTCAGATTACGTTTTGCCAATAGACCAGTGCAATTTCATTTCCATCCTAAATTCCTACAAAAATTTTTGAAAATGCTAACATTGGTAAATATTACACTACACTTTTCGTTGGTTGACACTGAGACAGATGAACAGCAACTGATAACCATGTACGTTAATTCGTATTTATTTCCGATTATCACCAAATGAAATTTGTAATTGTCCACCAATTAGTGATGCGACATGCGTTTTGCCAATTTGATGCAGTCATCACTGGGTGGTCGACTAATTCTGTGATTGAGTCTTGTAATTATGCTCGAAACAAATCGACATTTTGCGTGCTACTTGGCTTGCAGTACATCTTATTTTAGCCGTATCTAATAAATAAATATGAATGCTTTAACCCGTTCAATTGCTATTCCTCAACATTGATAAAAAGGATAAATGGGTCTTCTTTGTCTTCAAAGCCAACAATTAATAGAGTATCGGGGATGAATTTTAAGAGCAGCAATTCGGAACATCAACTTGATACTTTTTCAGGTATAGTTATATGTTGGAGATCAACACAATATGCAAGAAATATAATTCAGGTATGTTCTCCTCTTATGGAGATAATATTCTACATTTCCCAAATTTCAATGTTATAACATAGGGCCGTGATATGGGCCCTACATATAATGTCGATGCCGTTTGGATGATTCTTTATAAATGAATACCATACAACAGGTGTCACCAACACGTCGATCGCCACGTCTCGAGTAGTCGAACGCGTCTGATGTTGAGTAAGTTTAAATAACATACACAAATAATTGCCTTGAACCGGGTTAATACAGTGTATCATGTGTTTAAAAACATGAAGAATATACTACTGTGCATACGCAAAATACGATATACACATGCAGTAATTGGTATGGACAAGCCCGATGAAGCATATTATTATGTAACAAATGCAAGAAATGAACTTGCGGAATATCGTGTGTCTTCTACAATAATTTCTGCACTGTGCGAAAGTTATTATTGTCTCACTTATTCTAATTCCAAGCGATCAAAGAATCGAACTTGAAGAAAATTGTAAATTAGATAACGAAGTTTGAGCAGTCATGTCAGATAATATATGGATACTTTTCAAGGTTTTTTGAGGAATTGGAAACACTTACGACTAAAAATTAGACGGGCCCTAGATCTGAATTGTATGATTTGAATAAATCTAAATTAATAATGAATATTGAAACATTTACTCCGGGTAAAATTATATAATCAGTTTAACAAATTGAATGGAATATAAAAAATGCAAATATTTGTGGCAATTTCATTGAGAATGCGCCTGCAGAACTGAGCTTATTATTAGTGGTAAAATTTTTGTACGCGCGTGTGTATTTATCTGCGTATTCAGTATCCCTTCATTTTTGTTTATGACCTTATTACCGTGAGCTATTTTAAAGATTTTAGTCGATCGCGATCGAAAGCAAATTGGCAACCCCTGCCATACAACAACAAAACCGAAAAGGTATTTTCTGGTCTATTAAATGCAGGCACACGGTTCGATGCCAGGATAATTCATAAAATCACTATATGCATGGCACGCATATCAGTAAGTAATCTGTGACTTATGTAACATTTGTGAATCAGTCATTTTATTAATCATTTATAATTTTGGGCTGTCATCACTTTCTTTTTATATGCAAAGAGTTTATTGTGTCTATAATTACACGTTTTCAGTTTAATAAACTAAAAATTTGATATAGGTGAAAGCACGATTAAAAATATAAATATAACAAAATATTGCCACATTCTAAACTTATCATATCATTTTCACAGATCGTTTAGAACAGTGGTCGGCAACCACCAGGCCGCGGCCCATCACCGGTCGGCGGAAAGGTTACTACCGGTCCGCAGAAAGATGACCTAAAACAGACAAGGCCCTGATAACATATAAGCCAGGGGTTCTCAAACTTTTGGTGTTGCGGAGCCCGTGAAGAAGTTGACTACTATTCACGGAGCCCCACAAATAAATTTCTTAAATAAAACAAACAAACAAAAACACACTGTTACGTACCGATTAATGTTTCTGAGTAAGTTAAAACTACTTTACTTAATTCAAATGCTAAACCTTTTTACTGAGGGTTAATACAAGCCATAAATAAATCTAAATTTTACAGATAAATTATACATATTAACGTTGTAATTTGACATTTGAAAAACATTAATAACGTTTGGGTTGGACCCCCTCCCTTTTGATATTTTTGAAAAGTAGCCAATACCGTGCGCGATTGCATTTTGGTGAAATCGCCGATTGTTTTCGTCAGCGTGATGTATTTTTTAGACCGTAAATATCTTTACGTCGGTGTTTATTTTACCCAAATCACAAATTTTCATTGGCATATGCATGTATTATGGAATTATGAGTTTACTGAGAAAAACAAGTTAGTATATTATAATCATCAGCAACGAGATGCTAAAAATAATTACTAAAGAGGTGAATCAGCAACCCAAATTTTTGATTGAAAAGCGTCATTATAAAATTTTAAATCTAAAACCCAAAACTTTTTGTTTTAGCAGACTCGCGATATTTTGTCAGTTTTTTTTTTGGAAATTATATCGTAGTAACTGAAATCGAAACACAATCAATTGAGCAGGCGATGTGCCTTTTTATACATTCTGAAACTACCGACGATGATAAAAAAATTTCAATCCTTCCTATTTTGTCCAAAACTTGGGATTTTTCAAACGGTGATATCTTAAAAAGAAGCTGAGTGGCAGACCTGCAATAGGGCGGCGTTAGTGCTGAAAGAACGCTAAAATCGCTGTAAACTGCAACACTGCGATGCAATCAGTCATAATTATGATTTAATTGGGACGGGAACAAATATCTCAATCAAACTACCGGGACCAGTGGTGGGTATGTTCTTTTGTGGGCAGTGCGACATTGCTTCTAATATTTTATGATAACAGCGTTGTTCAAGATATCCGGTAGTCCACAAGGTCTTCGTTTACTGACTTTGTTTCTCATTTCATGTCGGCGGAATGCTGTGGTAATTTTGAGTAGTAATGATTTAATATTGTCGTGAGTCGAGCAACCGCAGGTTACACTGAACACAATTAAGCCTAAAAATAAGGCATTTTAAATATGCCCGCATCGGTCATGGATTGCTCAATTGTAAATTGTACTCATGCAATGAGATTTTAACGCCGACTCCGGGATTTTTATAATAACGATGTCTTGCCTAAAAATAATCTCAACTCAAATTTGAGGAATCCCAAGATCGCTAAAATACGATTCCAGTCTATATATAGTTGGCAGTTTAGCACGTATTTTATTTCAGAATAGTGATCTTTCATTTTAGTAATCGTATTAGTAATCTCGACTCAAAGTCGAGTAACGACGAGCACAATTAAATTATTGGGACAAGAAATTTTAAATGCTCGAATCGGCCATGGATTGAATACTTTACGCCACAGAAAACTCGCTAGCCGCTGAAAAAGTTTTTTAACAGGTGGCCTAATAGCGAAAAAGTTTTCGATTCCAATTTTGAAGACCCATCCCTTGTCATATTTCGACGCTACTTTTGTCAAATTTTATTAATGCTTCTTTGAACAGTTAACAAAATTATCCAATTAGGTATTCTGATAAGTAATCGAATATCTCGCGGAGCCCCTAGGTTTCTCCCACGGAGCCCCGGGGCTCCGTATGGAGCACTTTGAGAACCTATATTATAAGCAATCTACAAACCCTACGACTGAAAGCTGGTGTTCCGTGTTGTTGTCTTCAAATTCTTTTTTATATTTTGGCATATTTTAAGACACAGTTTTCAAGAAGATTTTATTTCTTGTGATAAATGTTTGCACGGATTTCCGAAAGTTGAAACAATAACTAAACAGCTAAATGTAAACGTAACAATTTAAATATCATCGCTCAAATCACATTTTTAATCATGTTCGGGAACATTGACTCGTTTTCGTAATGTAAATTATAAAAGTTGCCTAAAGCTGGGAATATTTAAAACCCGACTCGTGGAATACTCTTAAAGAGGCAATAAATTCATTTACTAGTAAAAGTACAAGTAGGATTTTTGACGCCAGAAAGACGACCAATGAAGGAGAACTACGTTGTTGCCTTTCCTAAATTCAGGCCTAAATAAACGATGCGTGCACATCTAAACAAGTTCATATATCATATTAAAATTGCATTGCTATTAACGGCTACGAACAGCCAGTTTTAAATATTTCTCATTGGTACTCCATTGTACTTTTGTTCTCTGAAGTAATGAATTTGTTACGTCTTTTTAGAACTCGAGTCATTGGTCTTGTTGTAATTTCACCTGACAGTGTTTATTGCTTATTCGGATAGTTTCCACGAAATTTAGAAATTTTCGTTTGTTGTTCCGCGAAAAATTCATAATCTAAAAAGTGTTCCGCGGTTCGAAAAAGATGGTAAATATCGATGTTTCATACAATCTCCGGATTGGAAACAATAGCACAAATGCCGATCTCGCAATAAATATCATCACCTTCGTTTCTGTGTATATTGTCAACATAAATTTTCTTTTGAATTCATTACATAAGCTTAGTTCGTTTATATAAAGGTGGTCCGTCAAAATTTTGGCCAGGCTAAACCGGTCCGGCACTTAAAAAAGGTTGCCGACCACTGGTTTGGAATACAACGTTTAAATTTCAGTTTAGAGTCTTGGTTCACATTTCCTGAAACACTCACTGGAGAAAATTTGTTTGCTGATTTTGGTCTCGGACACGGATCACTCGTACCGTATAGCTGTCAAGGCACACTTTATCGGAGATTCATTCCATTTTCAAAGTGTTTTCTTCGATAACCCTTTCAATTTCAACATCTTCAATTACTTCCTTTCCACTAGTCGTGTCAGCATACTCTTGATTATCTTCACTTGATGTGGAAGGAAGTCCTTTCTCTCTGTGAATACTTCTTTGATTATTGTTAAGTTTTGTGGGCAAGGATGATTTTCTTCTTGATTTACGACTTTTTCTCAATCTTGGTTGACTATTTTGTACTTTTTGTTGTGTTCTGATTTCAGTTATCAAGTTATTGCACGTTTCAATGCAATCTGATTTGAGTTTGGTCTTTGCTTTTGTTGATATTGCATTGACGTGATCCCGAAGCTCTCTTAGGAGAGATAATAAATACCCTGTGACACTTTTTTGTGCACTCAGATGACTGTTTGCATTTCTGATCAGTTCAACGCTTTCTTTTACGTGTTTCATAGCTGGTTCCTTCTTCTTGTTACTCAAAGCAAGTCGGGCTGCGTAAAACGCCAAAAGAGCCGCTTGGAGTGGTCGTGAAGAGATATCCATGACCTCATGGGCTGCTTTCATGAGGCGGCGAGGTGAAATATCTAAAATCTTTTCGTAAAAATTTAAAACCTCTTTTTCAAGGGTAGCAATATCTCGAAATTTCTGTTTTCGTATTAGACATTCGATGTAGTTCAAGATGGAGCTACTATAAGTCCAAGGACTCGTCTTCAGTGTCCAAATCTCTTTTATTTGTCTCATTGCTTCCAAGTACTTTTCGTCCTTCATGAGCGAAGTTATAGAATCTGAAGCAAAAAAAAGATACAGAATATAAAGTATAAGCAGTATTTTATTATTCATGTTCCCGATTATACAATCACATTCATACCACAGAGTTAACAGAATGTCAGTAACGAGTTTCAATTTTTCCTGGAACAAATACTCACTCATAAACTAGATTCTAGAACAATAGTAGTTTAATTCAAATCTGATAGCCTCGACTTCCAGTTGGCTCAGATATTTTAAATATATTTACTCGGGGTTTTATCAACCAACAAAAACTATTTTATTATTATAGTTAACAATTATGACAGATCAAGAAGCTTTACAACTTTGAACGATAAATCTATTTTTAAATCTACTTTTAATAACAGAAGTCAATTTCTGAAAAAAAACGGTATCAGTGACCTTGCTCATGAGATCTCTTCAAAATATTACCTCGTAATGCCAATGCTCGCATATCTATTTTCAGCTTTTTTCTTCTTCGTCTGTGCTTTGGATATTGAATTAATTTAAACAATCCCATTTTTGTACTAGTTTCTTTACACAAAAAATTGATATTATATATACAATGAAAGAACATATCAAAACTAAATTTCAAAATATCTACAGTAATCAATATTCTATTGTGACATATGAATTCAACAAATTTATGAATTACATAATAAGATCATACAACATGAGTTCAATACGATACGGTCGGTCAATATTCGTTTGAAATATTTATATGACTTCTTCTTGGTCTTTTGCTAATTATACCCTATGTTCAGTGGTGGGATTCAAATTTTATGTCAGCCGGTTCTATCACAAAAGTCATATTTTTTAACCGGTTCTGTTACTTCCTAATTAACATTTCAAAATAATGATTAAGTAAGCGTCATTATGTCAAAATTAGATGATTGTTGTATATATTATATACTCGTTGATAATGAACTTAAAAACCTGAAGGTGTATGATCTACTGAAATCACATGCTTGAATGTTGATATTCTATAAAAGTGCTGTTAAAAATATAAACACAAGAAATCTAGTCTTTATCGAAGAAAAAAAAGTTTACTGAAATTAAACTCAAATATTGCAGTTTTTACATCAAATATTTCTAAATGGAGACCTGATTGTCATCAATTTCTTGATCTGTCGTCCCATGACTTGTACTTTTGACGCAACAATTCAATTTTCAGACAAACAATCACAAAAGGAAAAAAATTACTACAAATATAGAAATTAAAAGAACTGGTACGTGCGAACTTGATCATTTCACATTTAAAAAAAAAACACTTGATCTCAAAAATCGGTGTGTTAGACAAGATGAGAAAATCCATTGAATCCAAACCCGATTTCAACCATCTTGATACACCTATAGTCCTATACTAAGTGCATTTTTAACAAGAGAGTATTGCTCAAATATATGAAAACGAAGGTCAAAACGAAATATATGGAAACGAAAGACAATTTTTTACGAACAATTCCTTGAAAATGATATCCTGAACAAAGCTGGAACTGTAGAACAGTTATGGTCACTTACCAGTAGCCTACTTGTATCGGAGTACCGGTACCCAGACTGTCCTAGTTTGTCCACGCCCCGTGTCTACCGCACCCAGTAAAAGGCTTTCGACTTTCGCTGAGCTCAAGATCTGCTGACATTCATTTTTCTTTTAATTTTGTTGACCACACGCCACCACACGCAACGTCGAAGTGAAAAACGATTTCCATAGAGCCAAGATAAATAAGTAAAAGTAATAGCCCTTAGCAACACCATAAACAACATCAACCACTGAAAATTTCAAAGCTATTGGTCCAGTAGTTGAGGAAAAAGCGATCGAATTTCAATTGAATCGAATACTAGAAAAAGGACTTTCTTCTACTAGGCTGAGGCCACTATTTGATCACGTTTCCATTTCTCCTATTTTACAATTTCATTTTTTCTAAAATAAGTTGAAATATGCGATTATTTATATCAACTTTAGTGACTAGAATACATAAAATCGGACCACAATTTCTGATGAACTCAGCAACTAGCTTAACTGGTTATAAATTTTAACTGAATGTTCATGCTTTGGCTCAACCTACTTCACTCTCAAATCACACCTAAATGTACTACGATAAGTTTTTTGAATTGACTTGATCATATTTGTACATGGAACGTGTCTGCCTTTGTTCTTTACTTCCAATCCTATTGTGAGAAACTGAGCTGTCGATCTATCTAATATCTCCTTTGTAATTTGAGATGAAATATTTGGAAATGAATAAACAACTGGAATAGCATATACGAACGAAATGCCTACGTTTCAAAGTGTCCAGTGTTGAACCGGAATGCAAAAAGTACATATATTTACCTAATCGTCTGCTTAATTGCGAAAACTAGAACTTGGTAGCCTATCGACAACATAAAGAAACACTGAGAAATTTGGGTAAATTTTTTCTATGGGCCATACGAGGAAGGTACTTTCAGAGTATTTCTTTGTCTCTCCCATTAACAGAGATTACTAGAACAACCTCGGGCTATTTTAGAAGACATTTCTAATAATTAATGACTTCGTGTGATATCTGAAACAACCGAATTTGTTTACGTAAGTCATGTTGAATCTAACTTAATTTATGACATAAAGATTATATTTGGGTGGATATGAATGGAATGAAGCTATCTTTTGTGATTCATTTCATTTCCCGACGCGGTCGCTTAACTCTTACATAGATATAAAAGTGAAAGAGCGATTCTAACAAAATTTAAGGGTTCTCGAAAACGTCTTTAAGTTGGAAATACCAACATGAATGAGCATAGGTAGACAGCCTAAATACGATGTACTATTTTACTCGAGATGACATAAAAATATTGTCTATTACCAACTTTCACAAGCTTATGCAAGCTACAATAACATATTATGTTGTATATTAATATTATGTATACATCTAATTGCTGCATTATGGTTACATGCTATTTTTTGCTGCAATTGGGCCACTCGTTTTCTGTAACATATAGTGAGCTACTCACAGCGGTATTTTCAGCAGTATTCAATAAAAAATGATATGACAAATTTTCAGGCAAGTAATACAGTTTGTTTAAAATATAGTCGAGTTGCTGCCCAATCGTCGTCGTCCAATTCCGAGCGACTACTTTTTTTAAGCCTATTTGTGGAAATGAGGAACATCATTGGATATGGTCGACACCGCAAGGAATATAATATAGAGTCATTGGCTATTTAATCATTGTCCTTCAATAAAAACGTTCACTGCTACCGCTAAATGCTTTGCTTGCAAGGTAAAATAATTTCAAATACTCGAGCAAACGCTTTCCCGCCCCGGAAACGGAGCTAAACGGACTGTAAACATTGAAATGGCTCGAGCATGACTTTATTGAGGGGTACTCGCTTCCAAGGCACAAAAAAATAATAAGATTTGAAAAAAAAACATCTTATTTTGGCCCGATCGTTCTGAAAAAACTTTCTGGGTCATGTGGACACTGTCACAGACCTCCTTGTCATGTTTCGCCCCGGGAGTTCCTGGGAAATGCTCGTTTGTGACTGAAGCCCTAAATATATTACGTATTATATAGATCAGCTATAGATCAGTCGATGCGGAAATTTTGCATTATATCCTAAGGGAGTGGTTCCCATTACCTATTTAACTTTTGACCTCAAAATGAAAATTTTGTTCTATTGCAGTTGGATTGGAAATTTTAGTATATTTGGATGGATTTCAACAAAACGAAGCTATAAATAAAACTATCGCCATCCATTCTAATAAATATGGAATCCATGTCAAGTACGGTAAGGTGAGCAAGATTCTTATGTACAAACTGAATTCACCTTTGATTTGAATCGATACCTAAAACCAACTCCTCATCTCTCCTGACAAAGCGGACACAGAGATAGTATATGACATCATAAGTCCCGTCTGCAAGTTTGCACATTTTAACAGGGTGAAATTTACCATGACAGTGTCCCAAGTTTCAAAAAAGTTTCCGGTGAATTATTGGAATACAATACGATAGCAAAAAAAATTTCCTGTCAATCCTCTAATTGTGGTCAAAAGATAAGCGGGTTAGAAAAGAGAAAATCATGACATATATTTGTAGCCGCAATTTAGCAAAAATAACTATATGAAAGATAGCTAGGCCTAGAAACTGTCGACAATAACAAGAGTTTTTTTGCTCGAATTTCATATTCAACATTATGTGGTGATTGTTGAGGGTAATGTTGGAAATCACAAAAAGTTTCAGACTTTTTACTCAAGGGATTCATGAAGAAAATAAAGACCAAACTATTTGGGCGACAGGAAAATGTTGTTTTCGACGCCCAAATACAGCGAAAATAACCCCATGTTGTCGACCAAATCGATAAATATATATATCGGAGATATAACGTTCGCTGAAATACAAAGCCCTGCGAGCAACGAAGTCAATCCATCTTCATTAATTGTCGACCATAAGGAATTTTTGATTAGCTCGAGGCGCGAAAGCTTCTTTCACTAGATGCCACATCATGCATAATCGGGGTTACCATATCGTGCTTATTTCTAAGATTTGTGCTAATTTTCCAGCCCGCGTCTTATAAAGTAACGATGTGCTCATTTCCAATAAAAATACTTATTTTCGAGTTGCGTGCTTATTTTGTCTTAGAAACATGATGATTCGTTCATGTTTTGCGTACAAAGCTCCTGTGGAAATGAGGGACGATGTTTATCATTATACGCCACGCGTATTAGCGCTTCGCTGTGTCATTATCGTGACATAACAATTCTTCCTATTCCACCGTGACCTCATGTCTCAGACTCGCTTCCTTCCATCGCGAACTGTTTCTGTTGACGGTAGGGTTTGCGGTATTTCCAGGCAAACTTTGTGACACAGTTACAATAATTTATTCTAGTTTTTAGTTTTTTTGTGGTTCACAGTTACAATAATTTATTCTAGTTTTTAGTTTTTTTGTGGTTCACAGTTTCGAATCCCATGCGGAGATGGTTATGTGCGAGAGGATTGTTGGAGTCCTCGCCGCCGTAGGGTGGTTCACGTAACCGCCAGTTACGGCTTCTTCCACCATCAAGCCCATGCTTTTAAGAAAAAATAACTGGCCAGCTAATCCCATAACCGACATAGAATGGAAACCGGACGAGAGGTCGTGATTCGCCATATGGTCAAACCGTCCTATCACCTTCCTCTCCCCCGGGATAAATATGTAAATCCTATCCTAGTGAAAACACTAATTTAGACAATAAGTAATCGTATAGGCAAGAGTTTCTTTTCGGTTATAAAAAGGTATATTTGCTAATGTCAAACAAAGGCGATAGAGTAAGAGCTATGTTCACTGCTGCTATTGCGACAGCCATGCAATCTAGAGGCCATGGGAAAAACAACAATTAGTGCCCACAATACAACCATAAAACACAAGAATTTGGCATTGCGGGAAACCGAAGTATAAAAACTTTCTGGAGGTTGCATGTGGCTGTGACTCCGTGTCTTTTTGCGATTTCAGGGCTGCATGCAACCTTCTTGAGAGCGACTTTTCATTAAATAAAAAAAAATGAAATGCATAAGAGACTCGTGTATGATTTCCCTCTTATTTTTATCCTGCGTTTCTGCCGTCGTTAAGTACGAAAAAATACCTTTTTGACACCCGTGCTTATTTTTAGCTCTAGGTAGATGGTAACCCTGTGCATAATGTGGGTGCAAAAAAATAGTTTGGAAAAGCAGTGAATAATTAGAGTGACTGATGAACATGATCAGTCACTCTAATTATCTTTCAAGTTTTGTAGTGAGCTATAAATATATGTTTTGATGAAATATATCTGATCAAATCATACGACTGTGCGTAAGTAATGTACATTCACCGAGACTTCCACATTTACTATGTGGGTTTGTTGGTGCTGTCTACAATAGTTCAGTCAAATGAGTATGATCAGAAGTAGATTGCACTAGACTCAGCGGCGGTTCCCAACCTTTCTACCCTGGCGGACCAGTAAAATTAGATTAAATGTACTCGCGGACCGGCAAAAAATTGAAATGGCCGGATCAGAAAAGAATGACATATATTTGCGTAGTATAATGCAATGTCGGGCAATAAATATTCTTCTAGACGAAAAAGCACACTTAAAAATATTTCACACGGAGAAAAACTATCAAATAATGTGCCGACCAAAAATTAAAAAATGGGTGAAGCATAAAATAATATCATATATATATTTGCGTCATTAAATGCAGTGCTGGGCACTCATTATGCGTAAGAAAGGCACGCATAAAATATCTCACATTTAAAACATGCACAATTAACTTCTGTGAGAATTTTGCTGCTGTTTCGTTTCCAATATAAGATTGCAAACGAGGCCTCAAAGAAGTTTTTGCAACACGTAGCTGTGCAGCCGATTTCTTTGCTTCGTTTTAATTGAATATAGTGATGAAAATGTTTTTTCGCATAACGCAGTAACTGGCTGAAAAGACGGACAACAGTTTGATTGCTCGATTACTTGGCGATGGGTATTCGTTATCATCTGAAATTGTGATGAGTAATTCTTTTTTTAATCTGGACTGTAAAGTAGAATCGCCATTTTAATCAAGTCTTTTCTTTTTCATTGGGTTCATCACATAAATCCCTCTGCAGTTGATTGACGCCTCAAACGAAATGAATTTACATTACAATGACAAAGTCGTCGATAACTTGGCAACAGACTCAAAATCCTACTGTGTCTGGAAAAGATCTCTGCGGCCCATGCTTTTTTGCGCGTCTTGACCACCTGTGGGGTCTCAACAAGTTCATATCTTACTGGAATATTATACTGTTCTTGACAGTTTTTTGGGTTGAACAAGGAGATATGCATTACGTTTTATATGGATGGTCATATTAATCAGGAAAAGCACGCATAACAGAAAAAGCATGCGTGCCGATTTTTAGGCTTCTCAATTTTGCAAGATTTGATGGAGCGCATTCGCGATGAATTGGAGCCGAAAAAAGCGAAAAGTGTGAATGATCGGCGCCTATATGTCGCGTAAGACGGCGCCAAAATGTCGCGAAAGACGACGCAATATGACGGAGGAAGAGAATTGCGTAATGAGCTAACGCAACTTTGTCTACGGTAAAGACGAAATTTCTTGCGGACCGGCAAAAAATCTTCGCAGGCCGGCACCTGTCCGCGGACCGGCGGTTGGGAACCACTGCACTAGAGACTAGACCTAACCTAATTGGTAATGTAACAATTTCAAGTCTACCAAAAGTTTGAAGTTTACATAAATAAAGTTAGCAAACAGTGGCATCCTGAACAGAGTTATACGAAATACACTTCAAACTTTTATTTAGATCCACTTCGAAAATATTTGTTAAAAACGCAAAAAAAAATTGATTTTGAGGTATGGTGGCGCAAGTCACACGATAAGGAATCTCATGATAAAATATTCTTGCGAATCTCTGTATCATCTCTGAAATCCGGACGCATATTCATTGAAATTAATGTTAAAATCTGATTTGTTGTGTTTATTTTTCGGTGCTCCCGACGTATGTGAACCAAGATGGCGGACACTGGAACGTAGTATGTGTACCAGGTTAGGATTAGGCCATAATTTTTTTTCAATTTTTCTCATTTTAGTTCTATTACGAGTTCGGGGACTAGCCAAGTGACTCCCGTAGTATTTGTACTTGAAATTATGAACCAACCCTAACCTGGTATACATACTACGTTCCGGTGTCCGCCATCTTGGTTCACATACTTCGGAATCGGAAGTACCTATTTTACAACCGTTCACGTGTTTTTTACCGTTAAAGTTGCATATCTTTTTTTCAAATCTCTAGCTAAATGGCTAGTTACAGTATAGAGTTAAAAGCATTCCGAATCTTGCTTTATTCCTTTTCCTTCTTCGAAATTCAATGTTTTGTTCCCGTTCGATTTGTATATTGGTCTCAAATTCTGCCAACAGTGACTCAAATTTAGAGTATAAATTGTTGCCTTGCATTTCTCAATACTGATCCGATTTTTGCTTGTATGGTGTTTTGAATCCATCGAAATGAATTTTTCGACTTCGCCACGCATGATTACCATTGAACACTACACTATTTTTCTTCGACATGAAAGGGCACTGAATAAAACAGTGAACGAGAATATCGGTCGGAGACCGAAGACTCATCGATCGAAACTGCGGGTTCGATTAATGACTCTATAGTGACACCGCGTGTCCCATCACTAATTAATTAATAACTCGCTAATTATACGACATGATTCATCCAAAAATTGATAGGCTTTTGGTCCGAGATATGATGAATGCACATGCAAAATTTGGAGCAGATTCAACCTCGCTTTCGTGAGATATCGCGTGCATCTAACTGTATACCTATCAACATACTTACCGTTCTAAAGATCGATAAGTCGAAATTTTTTACCTTTGATTTGTGTGATTTTGTTGGGTATTCCGAAATAAACTATAACTATGTCTAGCAATGTCGTAACTGCGCCAACCTACTTTGAATCGCCGAAAAAGGCGTTTATCACCGAAAATTAATGGTTGGCAAAGCAATGCTCTACCAATAATCTTGTTGAGTGAATTTTTATAAATATGGAGTTAGTATTTCATTCTGTTTAAAAAGCATATTGCATATTGCGTTCATAAAGCATACTCCACTAATAAAATGGTCCTTACGTTTCGTATCCAATATGCCTCAGTAGGCTACAACAACCAGCTTTTGATCGCTGCTAGCAACGAGCTTCATTCATTTCTTGTTACGGTCCATGAACGCACAGTTGAACCCCACGAGGGCGCTGTCGCGTGTATTATTACTCTGGTATTTTGTGATTTTGTTTCTCTGTTTTAACCCTTTTTAAGCCTCAAGCCCTGCCCATTTTATGGGTATTTTTAAACTTATTTTTTTATGTCAACCATTAATTCCTAAAGCTTTATTCATGGGTTTTTAAAAGCGTCTGCTAGAGTTCTATTCAGCAATATATCTTTAAAACACACCCCTCGAAAAAAATTTTTGCAAAAAAATTTCAAAAATTTCTAAAAACAATACCAAAACGACTATTATAGCATAAATGGTTATCACTCTGAAATTCACAATTGTATTTACAGTATTGTCAAGTTCAAGGTCAAATTACCGATACTGATGACGTCACAGCTCTTATTATTACTGCACAGACCACCCCCAATGCAAAAAAATTAAATTTTTTCGACGGAAATGCGCGTAGAACGGCGTAACCAATCTCATGCGCGCATTTACGCGTTAAAATTACCATTAATTTTACGTTTTTTTTACATACAAAAAATCTCCATACCTCTGCCAACTATGGAGCATTCGAAATCATATTTATCAAAACAACACAGCGCCAGGGATGGTCAGGGATAGTTAGTATGACTGAAAATACATGCTAAAACAATAAGAAGTCGTTATAAAGGAGTATTTCCTGTCTGAAGGGAGTCACATTTTTCAGACGTCTGACAGGTGATTTTGAAATCCAGGATATTTATAGGATTCGCACTTTGCGTCACGGCTGGAAGGTTTTATCGCTTCTCTCATATCAGGGCATTACGTCGATAAACAGCTAAGAGCGATATTGACTCTATAAGTACATAAATTTTACAATTTATCTAAAAGTACACCCATATGGGCGTTCCGGCTGTAGAAGGAATTATGATTGATTAAATTTGTATAATTTTTTTTTGTCATTCCCTCTAAATCTCCAGCCCACAGGTGTCGCTGACTCGATGACTGTCACAGTCTTTCGCGACTCCTTATGCTATGAATCTCTCACTTGTATGAATTCTGATGTGTATATTTAATTTTTTACGATTGTCATTATACAAGTTTGTCAATTTTTCGTTCTTTAAATTTTGTGTTAATTCTTGCATGATAGAAATAAATTATCTGAATCTTTTGAAATGCCGACCGCGATTTCTCCAGCAATTGGGTATTCACTACCAATGCGTTCCTTACAGCACCTTTCAGGATGAACAATGATTTGTGTTTTCAGAATGACGATATAGTATACAAACATTTTATTTCCGCATGTTCCGAAATATCCGAAGGTTTATAATTATGCAGGCATATTTCTGGATTCTTTGGCGTCGCGTTTTTTTTCCGGCAGACCAGTAACCACAACCACATCTATGTATTTTCAATGTTTTTTTGTGAAATATTCTTATATCTGACTTGGATTGACAATAAGTGTGTTTCCATGGGCAAGTTTACTAGGACGGACTAGGACGCAGTCGGGCGGGATTACTAGGGCGGACTAGGACACGAAATCGCGACCTGTTTCCATGTAATCGTGATCTCGGAAATGAGTTGCATTGTGGGTAAAACTACACGCTTGGATGGGTTGATTTGTGTCATCTTCTTTCAGCCTGAGTGACCTCCGCTGTAAATATTTTGTTGTTGGGATTTCCCCAATTCGTATAAAGCTGTTACTGTTACCCGAGTTTGTCTTTAGGTTTCTCTCTTCGGTATCATTATCATAGTATTAATTTGAATATGGACAGGGCGAAGACTTTATTAGCGTTTTTTTTCGCGGTGCAGGCGCTGGTCTTATGGTTGCACACCAGAAGAATAAGGCGGTCTAGGACGTTGCTGGCGTTAACTCAGTGGGGAGCTGAAAGAATTCCGAGAAAAATATGGATGGAGTACCGGTAATTCTTTTATTCTATATATAGGCATGTACAAAACAAACTACAGTAAGTTTTTAAATTATAATGGCACCGTGGGTAATATATTAGCCTATATGGAGCATAAATTTAGTGTGTACTGACAACAACTCGTATCAGTACCGTACTGCAGTATATATTTGCTCTAGTGATGTCAGTGACCTCAAATTCAATGATAGTCTTAAACTAAGTGATTTCATGACTCTTTCAATCAATATCAGATCTACGTCATCAAAATTGGCAGCCTGATTTCTCATCTATGATAAATTTGAATTGATATCAATTGCGTTACATTAAGTAAATGAAGGAATGATCCTGTGAAATAACAATCCTAATTCCTTTGTCCTTGCAGAAGTCAATATCTAAGATTGAAAAAACAACCTTACTTATACCCTTGGTAACCAACATATTCCTATTTCCCGTCATCCTACCTTAATTAGTTATACTGTTACTTGTACCTTTGAATACTTATTACAATCTGGACTATAATTTTGCAGTAATAGCCTCTAGCTATTATTAGCCTCTAACTGTAATCAGCTTGGCAATATATTTTTAATAAAAGTTTATCTCTATTGTTCACTCCCATTTACAAAATCGATCAATTCGGCAGTGGCAAAAGTTGTAAATTTAATAATATGGTGTGGCAAGTAATTTTCATTAATTTTTTTAACTACCCATATGTAATTTATAACCTCTGTTTGGTTGTGAGCGTGTGTGAAATATTTCCATTATTTTAGGTGAGTGAACACGTACCACTTCGTCTTGGCAAAACCTTCCATCTTGTATACATTCTGTACGTTTTAACCTTTTCTAAGGTTTTGTTTGCTCTCCTGATTTCATAAATAGTTTTTATTTATTCTTTTACCAATCAATTTATTGTTATGCTGATTATGGAGTCGAAATAAACTTACACCTATTTATTATACTTATTTGTACAATAACAGCAGTAACATATGAGCTAAAATTTTGACAATATGCTTTTCAGGCCAGATGATTGGTGGCTAAATGCATTAAAAAATTTCGGTGAACAAGAATGGTTGTCGAATTTTAGAATCAGAAGAGAAACATTTTCCAAGTTAACAACGTTATTGCATGACGATTTAGAGCCGGGTAAATGATTTATTTAATGATATTATCTTATGTTTAGCAATGCAAACTACATAACGTTGAAGACATAAATTACAGTTGCATAAAGTTTCAGGCTCCTTCAATATGTTTACTAATTTTGTGCATTCTTTTTATGTAGACGAAAGGTGTGTTCGTACGCCACTCTCACTAGACAAACGAATAGCAATTGCAATATACCAATTGGCATCAACCGCAGAATTCAGAACCACAGGTAACATGTTTGGGGTACATCGAACATCTGTTCACAGGTATTTGCACAGGTATGTATATTTCACCAATAGTTGAAGTTTCACTCTCATGATTGCTTGTATTCTCATTTATCCATATCTGAGTAGATTTTGTGAATGTCTGATCAAGCACCAAAAGAAATTCATTTTTCTGCCAACCGCTGCTGAAGCAAAAACAATCGCAGCAGCCAATCAGCAACTAACTGGGTTTCCACAATGTTTCGGGGCTATAGATGGGAGCCACATTCATGTAAAACCACCAAGATCTGGGTTTAGAGATTATGTGAATCGAAAGATGTACCCATCTATAGTCCTACAGGCTGTAGCTGACAATCACTACAGGTTAGTCCATTTTTTAAGTTTTTGCTAGTGTACAATTGATTTATTTCATTACATTTTGGTTTTTCTATTACTTTTCGGGTTTTTCTGTTATGTGTTGAATGTGCAAATTATAAAGTGCGACTACACCACAGTTTTTGTGTTGGCACTAAGACTTTTGTTTGTTCAAGTTAATCACATTTTATGTCTTATGTCCATTTACTGTCTTCTTTTGTATGTGCAATCAATGTCATATTTGTTGTGTTGTTTTTTGTTCATGTCCGTGCAATAAAAGCTAAAATTTTGATATCATTCTGCCATCAATGCGACTACACCACAGTTTTTGTGTTGGCACTAAGACTTTTGTTTGTTCAAGTCAATCACATTTTATGTCTTATGTCTTACTGTCTTCTTTTGTATGTGCAATCAATGTCATATTTGTTGTGTTGTTTTTTGTTCATGTCTGTGCAATAAAAGATAAAATTTTGATATCATTCTGTAGTGTTATTTGTTAGTGTTAAATCTCAGATTCAGAGACATCAGTATAAAGATGCCGGGCAGTGTTCATGATGCCACAGTCTTGAGGGCTTCTGGACTATATAAGAATGCTGAAATGCTCCCTTCGGTAAGAAAGCTTGAGCATTCCAGACTCTAAAATTATGTTGATTACTACTAAATATTGTATTCTGGCGCAGGGTGAGATCACCATTAATGGATATCCAGTGCCCTTATGCATCGTGGGTGATAGCGCGTATCCCTCTTTACCATGGCTGTTACGCCCATACACTGGGTCTTCTCTCACGCCCAGGCAAGAGAGATATAATGAGCACCATAGCAAGGTAAACAGGCACTTTTATGTGTTCAAACACACTCGTTATAACAAACTAAGCATGAGCTATTTCTGCAGGTGCGCGTAACAGTCGAAAACTGTTTTGGCCGGCTGAAAGCCAGGTGGCGAATCCTTCGTCGGCTGGATGTTAGAGTCGCTGAGGCACCAAAGATCATTGCAGCGTGTTGCATAATGCACAATATCTGCGAAACAGAACAAGCCCCAGTGCCAAGGAAGCCCTTAAATGAAGAGCCACAACCTCCAACTATTGGCATCCGAAATGAAGGGGCTAATAATAACGCCCAAGGGGTCATTGCCGACTACCTTTTTGAACTCTATGGACGTGTGTGACTAATTTGTTATTTTTTTTAAATTTTGTTCATTTGTTAATTTCTGTTCAATTTTTCCTTGTTATAGTTGAATAAATAATTCATAATAAATAATTCACTCCGCACACTCCTTTTGGTTTGTTTTGATTTTGCCTTTTCCTTTACAAATTGCGGAACAGAGTACCGGTACCGGTAGTTATTGCAATTATTTTTCTCCACGGGCTGCGGTACCGGTACCCAGAGAATGGAATAGCCAGTGTCAGAGCAAATCAGTATGAATGCTTTTGTACTGTCACAACTGCAGTCCTGTTATGAAATTTATAACGTTCGTTTTCGGCCCTGGATGGAAGAGCGTTGGCGATTCGTCAAGCCTTATTTCAATGTTTCAAAAACCGTCATTTTTCATGGGATAGTAGTATTCGTTATTGCAGCCTTCTGTCTCTATATTTCTGCATTCTTATTCGGAGCTTTATATTTTTATAACATGCCCACAATTTATCATTCGTTTGATCTCAATTTTCAATATAGTAGGTGAGTTTGTCAGAGAGATTTGGTAGATTTGACGTGTTTAGTTTCAACTCTTATGGTATTCAATGAACATGGCCATTGATCAAGTTTTGCAGATGAAAAATTTTATACAATTTAAATGGCTACCACCACATAGCTGACTAGGGTTTTGTCATCCTGTTTAAACAGTTTCACCGTCTCAAGTACCGTGACAGGTCTAGAACCCACCAAGTACAGAAGTACGGAAATAACAAAATTAACTGATTATAATCTTGGAAACTTCATACTGGCAAATCTTGTTTATTTTAAAATCAAAACATTGACCTCTTAGGCTACTTCCAGATTTTCCGATTGGGGCTTCAGAGCTTGCTCATACACATATGGGAATGTCAGAATGTAGCAGTGACAAGTATCGTGACTTTATACCTTATATTTAACTTACTTGATTTAGACAATGTATTCAACAACATCGAAACTATCTGCGTACTGGAATTGGAGACACTGATAAAATGTATAAAAATGCATGTTATCCCAAAGCAATGTTGGATTTTGATTCAATTGTTAGCAAAAAGGTCTGTATCAAATGCATATATAATAAAGAATGGAGTATTTTTATATCCAGATATCATTTACGTATATAAAAAGAATTGATTATGTTGATCTGATTTGTTCAAAATAGCTGCTCATTCTAAAACATCATTAATGTAAGTTATCATCTCAGTATTTTGAAATTGCAAATGCCCACACACTTATAAGTGTCTTTTTTTTCGTGCACTATGCCATTTTCCAATTTCAAATATACTATTGTGTAGTGCCATTAGTGGGAACATTTTCTGCATTGGATATTAGGGTGCATGGAATTTCTTCAATGCTGTTCAACCTGAGTGAAAGCACAAAAAGTTTTTTTACCATTCCAGGTTCCACAACCTGATCAGAAATTTATGGTTTATTTAATTCTTGACTTGCCGGAGTCACAAACTAATCTTGACATTGGAATGTTTATGGTGACAATGAGATATGGAAGTTTATTTTCATCTCACCCAGTAAGTCCAGCTGTATCATAATATTTTCCTTCCTCAAGTAGTTCTATAATGCCCAATTTATTAGATGAAAGAAAATTAATACTGGTTTTGTTGGTGTGTCAGTTTTTTCATTTTGAAAATATGTGTGGCAAAGAATATGCTATCAAAATATTCATAATCTTATTGAAACATAGACAATCAATAATAAAGATGCAAATAGATTCAACTTTGTTATACTTTTGAAATCAAATCGTCACAGTCTTTCTTTTTTGAAACATAGACAATCAATAATAAAGATGCAAATAGATTCAACTTTGTTATACTTTTGAAATCAAATCTTCACAGTCTTTTTATTTCCTACTTATAAATAAATTACATGCAGGTATAGCATTGAATTTGTACTTGTTGTTTTCAGGTTTCTATAAAATACAGACCGTTTTTAATCAGGCTTGCATCCATAGCTTTTTATTGGCCGTTGCTGCTCTTTGATTTGATAGAATCGAAACAGACGATAACAGTACCGTTGTTTGATGAAGCAAGATTCAGCCATGTTTCCAAGATGGATGTTCAGGTTCTTTATTACCGTATATAGAAAGATGCAGATATAGAGAGATGCAAATAATTTTTTCCTGAATTTGAAGATTAAAACCATTATTTGAAAGCCATATTATATGTATTTATCAAAACTACAACCAAATTTCTCTTGTTGTTATGCATTTCATGATGTATAAATTAATCTTAATGTGAATTTTAAGCAATTATCTGCTATGTAGTGCTTTACTTTGAGCAAGACAACATCTTACATATAGAGCCAGTATTACCAAAAATTCCCCTTGTATGCCAGCATATCCTTTCCCAACACAATTATAAATTTTTATCTGTGTATAATAGTTTCTTTGAATTTATGTTTAGAATTGTTTACGAGAGAATGGCTCTACATTTAAAGATCAGTGTCATCATCGCATAGTTGAAATACAAATTGATTATCCAGATATCCAAATTTACTCGGCGCAATTACAAGTTACTGCCATATTTTCTGGACTGCAATATTTTTTATATCAATGGCCAGTATTCTCTTTTTTGGTCGGCATAGCAGTATTTTTTGTTCCAGTATTAGCTTCAATGTTAGTAATATTTTATATTATCCTATGGAATCCATATCAACGTATTCAAGAATACATCGACATAAATGGGATCCCCGCTAGAAGATTACTTGGAAGGCGAAGAAGGAACAGGGAGGCAGTTAATGACGAAGGTTAACTTTTCAAAACATATAAAGTTTCGACAGATTGTTGTTTATACTAACTTTTCGAACTTTCATCCCATTCTCATTGAAATTTTTAAATGAAACATTTCTCATCGGGCATATTGAAAAGTTTGCTTGAATTGAATTAAAATCTTAAAATGCGTTTTCAAGGATTGGTATCTACAGTCAATTAGAGATATAATTGTTTTTGATTCATCCATCAAGATAATGATATACATGAATGAAGTTGCAGACAGTGTGTGTATCTAGAAAAGTACATCAAGGCTGATAAAAACATACCTAATTTTGTTGTTTATGAATCGCTTGGTTTCAACTTTAAAATAATGTCTACTGCATTAATTGTCCAATTTGTGAACAAATTTCATTTGCCATCTCCATCATCCAGGTCCGCAAGAATTACCATTAGTGGAGGTTGTGGAAAATGAGCAGAATAGACCGAATAATGACGAAAGAGAACCAGGTAACAGAACAACATCATCATTTACAACATCATCTATTGAAGTAGTTGGACCACTATTTTCTGAAGATTTCAAGAAAAGTGGTGATTCCAAGTATGTAATTTCTACTGGCCAATTTTAGCTCATGATGTCAAGAAAATGGTTTGCTAGGCTAGACAAAAATTGTTGTGGCATGAATACCTTGTAACAAAAATTTTGAAATCAAATAAATAATGTTAAAGATTGAGGCAAGTGTAGGCAATTTTGTCTTCACTTACAGTATGAAAGAATGATATCTGGCAGGATTCCAATAGGAAGTTCTACTCTTGGAGACATCACAATAATTAATGTTGGAAAATATTCATTTTGACTAGGATAGGATTTCCATTATGCAAGAGGCTTTTGAACATTATTAAAAAAAAGCCCTATATATGCATGAAAATGATTAGTAGTGCATGCCTTTGGTATCCACCCTAATAATCTCACATACTATTTATATGGCAGTCCATTAGCTTTAAGAGAAGGTCAAGGGGGCCATACATGTAGCACCATATTTCCATCTATATTCCTAAATTGTGAGGATATAATAGATCTTTTCTTATGGAAGTTTTCCATTTAATATTACAAGATTTCCCCCCCCCCCCTGGATTCTGGGATACACTCTAGTTTGATATGTAGAAATGCTTTGTAGTTGTTTGATATAGAATTGAAGTGTATATAACTTCTGCCTCTTCCTCGATTGTATTAGCATATCCTCATGTAAAACAGACTACTAGAATCCTATGACTGAAATCAAAATGGCTATATTGAGTGATTCATAAGTTCTGAATGACTCAACAAAGAAGCTTTGTCTGGTTTTGTTATCTCGATATCACTGATAGTGGAATCCAGCTCACATGACTGAAGTAATTCCACTTAATTTACTGAAATGTTGCTGGTTTTCTCATCGCTGTACAGTGGTTCATGTTATTGGTTGTAAGTTATGAGTTAACCCAACATCATGTCCATGCATTTGAAGCCAATAACTTGTTGACTATTTCCGCACCCAACTGGACAAAAGACAATAGTTTGCAGTGAGATTAAGCCATCTTACCAACTTTCCTTTCCCCAAAGAAAAATGATAATATATCCCATACTAAATACTCTTTAGTCTGTGAATAAATATGTCACTAGATTTTTGCTTTTTGAATATGTTTTATTATCAAATACCTTTTTGATTACCAGATCAAAATTTATAGATGGCAAACATGGTTTGAGTTGAGATTTGCTATAATATGAGGTTTATACCGAAGTCTCAACTCATTGAAGGTTATTTTTTATACAGAGATGATGATCAACCTTCCACGTCTCAGTCAGAAAATTTTGATGAAACAAATTCAGAAAGTGAATTAAGAAAGAGGAAATTAAATTTCTGATTCATTGTTGAGTGTTGTTTGATTTTTATGAGTTGAAGATCGTCAATGTTTAAAATGCAGGAAATGATACTGGATGATTAGAGAACTCTGTGTCTCAAAATTGTTGTGTTCCACGCCTGTCCCCTTCTCAGCACATATATCTCACGCCTGTCCCCTTCTCAGCACATATATCTCACTTTGCTACACCTTTCACACACTTTCCTGAGTTATGGAAGATGTATTGACTAAAGTAAGCATACAAAGTGGAATTCATGCTATGTTCTGGGTTAAGATAGATATATTACTTTGGCAAATGGTGAAGTATTTATATGAAGTGGAATTCATACATTGAAACCCTTGTGGTGGATTTTGTAATAGAATTATTTATATATCTTTTCTATTCGCTAGAGCATGTTTTAACATGACTCATTGATGTGAGAATGAAACTCATATCCTTAATTAATATTTTAAAGCAATTCGAATATCAGTGTTTTGAACTGTGCATTAGTGCTGGAGGAAATGTGCAGGGACATTGTTCACTTTATATGTGCAGGCTATAGCGGTGTATTTTAAACTTTGATTTCAATTTCTCCTTATTAATTTTTTTTTGTTATCCTGTAATTTATTGGCGACTGTGGACTCCAGGCAAATCCAACGTCTATGCACTTATCTTTATGGAATGTTTTGATTTCATTTTTTTTCTTTTTACAAAAATTTCTACCAATTATGTAAATAAATATGTTTATGTAGGCATAAGTACAAAAAAACTTATTTTTTTGTTTCATGTGCGATTTAATAATGCGCCCATTTAGTCGTGACCCTACTAGAATACTGGGATATAAATCTGCTTAGTAGTTACAGTAGCTGACTGTGAAATGGAAATGTCGCCACAGAAGATGTCGGTTATATGGCTTGCAACTCTTACTTTTTCCGAACCGTGGCACTGTCGAGCCAAACTTTCGGTTATAAAAGGCATATTACATTTAATTATCTACCTAAAATTTGCTGTTTTTTCATGTGCAACTCTTTTTTTTATTCTGTTAGAGTTATCCACTGACCCCTCCAGCAAACGGTTTGCTCTTAAGTCTTTTTAGTAACGGTAATGATGCGCATCCTATAATTTAAGTACTACTTGCTTGATTTTTATAGATTTTTTATTTGAAAATTGCGTAAAAAGTATTGCCTGATTCTGAATCGCGTTCACTCTTTTGTGTGCTTTTTTAGGCGCTCCAGAAGTATATGCATCAGATGGCACACAACCTGATAACTCTAACCTGGTGCACATACTATGTTCAGGCTGTGCGCCATCTTGGTGCACATACTTCGGAAGCACCTTTTTTTGTGGGTGGGCGTATTTTAACTTTATTTTAAGTTATGCTCGCCTCCCAGGTATCTCTGCATTTTGTTTGTCTGTTTACTTTTTGTGTTGTTTATGTCAGAGAACCGAAATAAAATGATGGTTTCCATTTGCCACAACATACTTGTGCGAGTGCGCCTTTGGGCTTTTCTTCAGAATGAACGTCGGTGTGGCAGCACATATGCACCCATAAGCTTCACCCAGTGACGTCACATTTGCACCCGTTGACTGCACCCAAGGTATTTGCACCTGTATACAGATTGCACCCACGGACATTTTCAAATTTGTCTTATCTGCGTTGAACGAACTGACGTTTTGCAAAAAATTATGAATATCACTGACGCCTCCACCACCCTACAACAGAAGGAAAGCAGCGATCCTCTTGCGCTGATTCATCTATTTTTCGTCTGTAGTGCTATTTAAATTTGCTGAAATTCTGCAACACCAATAGCTAGTGGCTTCCAAGTTTAATATTTTACGTCGTTCAGTCTCACTTCATTTTTTAAACGTAGTATAATGGGGGAAATTAAGCTATAGTATATAAGGTGAGATTCTTAATCGGCGCTTTTAACCACTGATATATATATAGTATGAAATTCCCTTTGCAAGAAACTGGCATGCTTGTTTCCATGAGGTTTCAAGGTTTATGTTGTGTTTGTATAATTATCGCAAAGGAGAGAAAAGTATTTGTGTGACGCGCTGCGGCCTTTGCCAGATTATCACTCCACGCACTGATGTATGGATTTATTCGTGCAATGTTTAAGATTTCCACATTGCCACCAGTCTGCTGAATACTCACATCCACTGACAACCAATAAATTTATGAGCCACTTTAATATTACTTTTTGGTTAAAATTTTTTGTGGCAGACGCATATCAAGCTGCGGTAGTAAGGTAATAGAATGTGAAATAAATTAGCCTATGTTGATTTGCTATCTTTTTGTGGTTTTAGTTACATGAACAGACGCAGGCCACAATGTATCCACTTTCCAAGTCAAGCGCTTCGTTACGCGTTTCTACAACAAGGATCATTCGATCTACGCGAAAGAATAATTGAAACCACAGAACTCGACATTATCTTCTTTATGAGTTTGTTGATATTTCCTGCGGCAAAGCCTATATAGACAAATACGTTATTCAGTGCTGGGGCGAAGGAGTGAGTAAACAATCAACCAATTTATTTATCCATATGTTTGCGTGAAGTGACCCGTAATGGAGCAATGTGGGAGACTATTTGTGCTTTGTGTGTGGAGAATTGTTTTGCTTTAGATATCGCAAACATTTTGTCCTGATATAAACCAATCACGATTTTATCATCGAATCATATTAGATCAAACCTAAAATCAGTTTAATTGTATTTTAGAAATGTTGATTTATGATTCTACCATACTTGGCAGAATAATATCTGTTGATGATTTTTTGAATGAGTTGTACTGTCACCGGTATATCAATGCGTTTATTTGACAACGCAAGAAAAACTAATATATTATCCCGTTGAAAAATCCAGCTTCGCGTGGGTCTTTTTCAATATGGGCGGTTTGGTATCGGGTATTACACGGGACTCTGTTCTTGAGCCGCATGTTATAAGACTAATAAAATTCAGTTGTCACGGAGCAAGGCTAATTCAATCCATTATTAGTTTTAGTGTGACAGAAGTAGAAAGACAATAAGGAAAGTACGACTGTTAAGAATGGCTGGGACTTTATTCGACACTCCAACATACGTTCGAATTGCAATTCTGAAAATTTAAGTCAGCTCCATCCTACAGGTCGAATGTCTAAATGTATTCTATAAGTGATATGTGGTAATCGACAGATATGCTCAACACGATCGATCATTCATACTGGTCTATTTGGAATTTTGACTTGGACAGAAAGTTATGTATGTCTTATAGCCTACTCGGTGAAATAGTGACGAGTTTGTTTGCAACGTGATCTTGTTGAAATTTGGTCTCGTCCAGTCGTATCGGATCAGTGGCCATGATGGAAGAGCGTAACTCGTTGACAGCTACTTCAAAGAAAACTTTTGTTTAAAATACCATTGTCTTTTGGCATATTAATGGGTCCGTTGTTATTGTGTAATTTTGGAGCATATTATTTAACAAAACGCAAAACATTATCCGATGTTTAACAGTAATGCGCGAAATTTTTCAAAATGTTGTTGAATATCATGGAGCCATAGCTTGCAACGGGTTTGACTTGTGAAGCCTCAACACAGAACTGTCCAAAATCGACAAATTATTTGTTGTAAGCTTTTAGGCGCTAAATCAGAAATAATGTAATTAAATAAATATTATTATCACAATAGGTAGCGAAACCTTTGGCATAGATTCGTATTTCAACGAATTCTTGTCAAATGCCTTTAAAGTTCAAACATGGCCTTTATTCACGCGGTCTTAGCCATTGCCCCATGACATATTTTATCACAACTCATCATCATTATAACTTAATTCAAAGTAAAATTTCTGAATCTGATTCATAATAGCTTCATCGCGATGCTGAAATGAAATTAGATACTATTTATGGGCAGACCGACTAAATTATTCAATTGAGAAAACAAGCTAGTTTATGCTGTAGCTGTCACGTAATCACGTAAAAAGAATATCTGTACCTTCTGAAGTCTTATAACAGACACGGCGTATTGTCTTTGTTCCACATTGGTACAAAGATTAGGGTTTACGCAATATATCTTTGTATTATGCTTCGTACACCGAAGCTTGGATTTTTACTAGGTGGCATATGTGTTTGGAGCAGTTTACTATCGATTCTTATACGGCATAACAGGTATTTTTTGTGCATATGTCAGGATTTTAACCAAATAACTCTTCCATAGTATACTAGTCGTTTTAATAAAACATCGGCCATTGTTCCTTTAAATTAATCGATTTCGTGAAAACGTGTGTTTTCTGTTTCAGTTGAATCCATGCTCCCGAAAAATAGAAAAACATTTTTATGTAACTCATTCAAGTAGTGTACGTTGTTGCATTTTCGTTTGCTTTTCGTCTTTAACAGGCCCAATACAAAAAAAAATATCATTTTTGTAAACATATGCAAGTCCATTTGTAAATCGACGCCGCGTAATAAGAAAGCTACGATAATTGTACGAGATCGTTTGAAACTGGCTTAGATATCTTATGAAAAGAGTTTGTATGGTCTTCAAAAATCAAATTCGAAAGAATTAAATATTAAAATTTCGCCGTTATATGACACTTTTATATAGCGTATTCGTAGCTAGTAGCGATGAAGGTTTGCCATGAAGACAATAGACTTCTCCTATTTTTCAACACACACCAGCTTTTCTATATATATTTATTCACGCTAAAACGATTCCATCAATCTTGCTTGGAATAACGTATATGAAGCGCCAAGGACAAGTGGTTTCAGAATTAGTTTTGAAGCTTAGAGCTTTTGTGTGCTCAAGGGGCGGATTTGTTGTGTCTGAGGCATAACCATGTGCAAAGCGTGATGTTTACATGAACCAGAATGTGAAATAGTTGTTTGAAGTCATGTTGCTTAGTGGCGGATGAGATACCTGTATTCATTGTAATAGCAGCAGCTACCGAGGAAAGTAACTTTTCAGTAATATAAAAGTGATTATCTTTAGACCAGATGTGTAGCCGAAGAATAGAGAAAATGGCTTCTAGAAACTTAAAATAAAGGTAGTATTTGATATATTCTGCAATATACCGTATGTCAGTTAGCCAAAGTAGCTCATATTTCCCTTTGAGCAAAATATCTTGTTGTCACAGCCGCCATGGTTTTAATATCCCTTGGAAAAATTGAGAACTTTGCCATTTTTGTTGTATGTATCACTTGTTCATTATTTGCCTAGCTCCTTATAAACTGGCACTCAACTAAAATGAACCAGGGTTAATATTTGATTCAAATTTCACTAGTGCCTATGCTCGATTGTATATCAACAATCGCATATATAAAAACCTCATATAAAACTTCCGACCACTCGAGCCGAGCACCGCCATTCGTCTTTCGAGGACTAAATGATAAGAAACATATTTACGCTGGGAATGTTGACGTTGGGACGACAAATGCTTTCCGTCTATTACCTAATATCGTATTATAATTATATATAATGCCAAGATTTGTACTGAACAGTACAGTTTTAAAATACCAGACTCACATTTTTGATCCCGTCCGTTAGCCTGATGAGGTTCGGAATATTCGGCTCTGCCATGATTAGGGCTGGGCATTTCGAATCGAATGGAATAGTAAATTATTCGGATCGGTTCAGAGCAAAATTTCGAATCGCTGCCATCTTTTTTTTCGCCAGTTGTCGAGGTAAATTTCTCAATTTTTTGTTATTGTTGCCATATTTTTTCAACGCAAATCTGACATATGACTCTTTTCTGTAGTGACTTATTGATAAAAACGTGTTTATTTGTATGTGAACGCTCAGCAATCTGATTGAGTGATGTATTTCATGTTTTCAGTAATTTATATGTCTGGAGGACCTAATACAATAAGAAAGTTACATACAATTTTATCTCCCAAGTATTCGAGATTAGATTCGATTCGAAATAAATATTCGATTCGATTCTGAAATCACCAGGTAATCGAAAATGCTCAACCCTAGCCATGATCTGTGCACTCAACACTGAATCTCATTTTAAATACCTCCAAATTGTTAATATTTAATGTGGGTAATGACCACTGAGGCATTACATGCATCTGTTTATTCTTCGTAATATTATAAATTTATTTATATATATATATAGTACGCCTCATAGATAAACGAGGTATTGCAATTTTTTTTACAGTTGCATTACGAAAACATCAGACGAAAGGCATTGTATTATTCTTAATATTTTATTACAGTGTGACAACCAAACGATAAATTAGTTAATATTACTTATAATTTTGTGGACGATAAATAAAATAAGATCCATGGTTTCTGTGGCTGGTATGCGATTAGATGGCTCAAGCATCGCCGGCGAAAAAATTATTTGTTAACGGCACCGTTCACCCCGCTAAAATCAACGACAAAGACAAAATTCCTCTTGAAACTCTCAAACCAAAACAAGATAATATTAGTCTTGTTTCTGTATCGACTGTTGCCAGCAGCATCAAAATTCCGCGTTCACATTCATCCACGTCTAAGGAAGTAAAACTTGACGTCAAGGTACGTTGACATCTTTAAAACATATATTCGGTATTAAACTCGTTAAACATATACTCGTTGTTCAAACTATCTAAGGTCTAAACTATCCTATGTTGGGGAAATAATCAAAATTAGTGCCGTTTTGACGGATGTCAACTAATCAACCACAAATTATATTTTTTCGATTATACCCGTATACAGAATCTATATTTGGAATAGGCATCGCGTACCATGCAACGCATCTGTATATGCAAGCTTGTTTGTGTTCATATGACGTTTTATGGCAGTACAAAGTTCTTGTTATACTGGCCAATGTCATTTAAACCAACCAACTTTGAAATATTGATTTAAACGACATTTATTGGCATGAAAACGGAACTATATTGTAATTATGTAACAACCATTAGGGGAAATTTTGGAATCTTGAATTTGTTTAGCGTGTAAACGTTTGTACAGCTTCCTTAGCCGACCATTTCACAATTCTATTACTATATTACTGACTCTCGGCAACCCTCGACAAATTACACCATAAAAAATAACAATATAAGATATTAAATTCGGATTTGCTTGGCTTTAAAACCTTGTAAAATGTTAACAAAACTAATGGAGCTTATTGGTTTGCACGTTGAAGGTAGTGTTTGGGAATAGTATTTCTTTTGTCCACTTAAAGAATATTTTAACAGGATTTAAACCATCTTCATCCAAATATCAACTCATCCTCTGCACCATCAGTTGTTGTCAACGACATATCCGGAGACGAGAGTGATTTTTCCGAATTGCAGTCAAGACGTGGGAGCTCAAATCAAGTGTCAAACGCTGGTAATTAATTAGGAAGAATGAAATTAAAACAATACATTAGTTTATGTTAGTATTTAGGACCTGTTGACAGTTATATATTTCCAAAGCTATATTTCAAAAAATGTAAAGTTTCAAAGAGGTATATTCTAAATTCTTGAGGTGTACCTATATGCATTTTTGCATTTATTACCACTGACTCGTATTTTAAAGATGCTGTCATAAGGGACAGTCGAATTTCAAACGATTAGTAACTCTCGGAAATTTGCGTAATATCCACCTTGCACAGAAAATCAAAGTACTTGGACTATTTCTTCCCGTCCATTGGCTGCTCATTTCAATGTTTCTGTTCTAAGAAAAATCTTATTTGTATCAAAATATTTACAAATAAGCACTACAACTTGGTAGACTGGTTTACAATTACAAAAGAATCGTTTAAATGTAACGTGTTCTTTTTTGTTTAGAAAAATTATCCAAAATATTCAATCCAAAAAACACAGCTGCACAGAAGTGGGTGAAAGCCGGGAAACAAGTCAGGCGAGCTGTTGCAGTTACCCAGGCTTTACAACGACCTCAATCAAGAGAAGAAAAAGTTAGTAGACTTAATAGCAATAAAAGTTCAAACAATTTATTGCACACTTTATGACCGAAAACAAGAAAAATATAAAAATGTTTATGCTTGATTCTTTCAAGACTTGATAACGCAGCACATTCACATCGTTACTATCAAATTTATTGAAGAGTTGTCAGTCCCTCTCATTTTGGAAGCTGCATGTAACCACCTGTTCTACAGAGTTCCATAACATCGTTAATTCAATTATATTGTAAATAGTCCATTTCGTAAATGAGTTATCTATAAAATTTATGACGTCAGCAGTAAGTTTTATTCTTCTGATTAATCGTTTTTCCTAGGTACGGAAGCAACTTTACGGATCAAAAGCAGTGTTGCCAGTTGTACCAGTTCCTGTTGCTGTCATTCTACTTATTTTGAATATTCTTATACCAGGATTAGGTGAGTAGATTTGATTGAAAAATTGGTTAAAATCGATACATCCTGGGATGTAATATTCAAGATTCTGGAATGGCTACTAGTAGAAGATATGTGTTGTTGACACATGCTATTTATGTGCAAAATGTAAACAAATATATCGGAAACATATTTTTTTCAATTCAATGTTTGCCCTGTGCATTTTGAATTAATTTCTATAAAATGTTCCACCTGATCTTTTTTGGATAACTTTTCTTCCAAGATATGGAATATACCAAGAAACAAATTGCATTATATATAATAGGAGTTTCATTTTCTTTGAAGATACTTTAACACGTTCTTTTTTTTTTCTATTTGTTTTCTATTTCCCAGTAGGTAAATGGAATTTCCTTCTTTTATCACTTCTTTGCGATTATGGTACTCGTACACATGCATTAGCATAATATGCGTGTTAATTAGTACTTCTTTCTGCATATATTCATCATATTTTATATATTCTGTGCCTATCTACCGAGCTTTGGGTTCAATAATATTGCGTTTTCTCATGCATTTAAAACGGTTTCAACGGTTGACGTGAATATCAAAATCAAACCACTGAATCGCAAATATGTCGTTTATTTGTGAATAGATTTCTCACTTTCGTGTAAATACGTTAAGTCTCCAGGAATATCAAAATAAGAACTTTACAAGCAGAAGTGCAAACCCAGAATAAATTACAGGTGTGGCGTCATAAAATATCTCTGTAATGAATCCGACCCCTTGGAAGAAATTTCATTTTAAATTGTGTGCAATCGGATTTTGTGGTTACGTGGTTACACAAATTACGGTCATAAAAGTGAAATTTCTCGTATTAATCAAACATGGTCCGAGAAATGTAATAAATATATCGTACCTGGCTTTAACTAAAAGAAAAATAAATATCTAACCACCGGGTGTTGTCTTTCCAGATTTGATCGTTGACAAAATAAGCCACATTTCACATAGTTTTGTCCTACAATAGTGCTTGGGGTTGGGTAAAGTTTTATAGCTGAAAATTAATTTAACAGACCTAACCAAGTACCTTGGAACAATAAATGTTTTTAAATCGTAAAATTGCTCATAGCAAGCTGTATTCTAGGAGTTTACAGCTGAATTATATTATGAGCTTGGCGCCAACGTTTCTGCAGCAGTCATTTTTTTAATTTAACTTCAAATTTGCAGGAACAATAGTGGGTGGATGTACATTTTGTTGTTGTGCAACGACTTACGATAAACCAAACAGAAAAGGGATTGGGCAGAAAATTCCAAAGCTTGTAAGTTTTTTTTATATTCGTTCCTCGATTTTATATTTGTCAAACTAGAGTTTAAAAGACTCCCGCAATGTTAGCTTTTGCTTTCTTATTTTATAGTCACTTCTTTCATCCACATTGTTTGATATCCCAACTGGCGTGATTCAGTTGTCGTGAATTTAACTTTTTTGTTCTTCCAATGGTGAAAAGCAGAAATTGGTGGTTCCTATTCAGAATATTTCAAATAAGGAGGGTTTGTTTAGTGATTGTGTAAAACACCAAACCAGTATTTCGTTTTCTGTAATATTCATGTATTAAAATACTTAGATAAAAATACTTCTCGTTATTTGTCCACATTTTTTTTCGTTTCGTTTTGCTTATTTCTTTTTTCGTACATTTACAATTAACTTGGATATGCTTAAATTAAAGAATCGGTATTTAAAAATATATTTTGTGCATCGCAAGAAACATAATGCATATAAAATTCATTCGCGATCGAAGTGCAATCCGAATAGATTTTCTAATTCATTTGCATAAAATAATTTATACAAATATTTCTTATTTTAACTTTTCACTGCAGGTCTGCAGAAATTTACTAGTTGGATTTGCACAACTCTTCACCGTCAGTTTTTTATTGATTGGATGGGTTTGGAGCATATCTTGGGGAATGACGATGTTGTATATGGCTATTGAGAGAGATCGTGAAAAGAAAGAAGGAAGTGACTGGTTTCCTGATGAAATTGACTGAAAATGATTTCCTTTTTGCAATGAAAAGCTTATTTATGGCGATGGCGATTCGGAGCATGATGCAAAAGATCCACGGGGAAGGAAATTAAAAATAACCTGCCGGAATAGGTTTCTCTTATAAACTTCATGTCCTGTTGACTGTTCGATCAAGTCAAAACGATGTTCTTTGTTTTACGACTGAAAACTATAAACTCAAACGCAAGATTACTCGTCACTGCAAATCAAATACGAAACCCTTTTTGCATCGCCCAACCTTGCCAAAACTCTTCAGAAACACCATGATACGTGCAAGAATGCGAATTATAAGAGAAAAATATAAACATGATGTATGTGACAGCATTTTGAAAGGTTCTTTTTTTAATTGCTATCTTATGGAAAAGTCAATTTGCTCAGAATATGTTCAAAATTGGGAATGATATTCATAGACAGTTAAATTTAGCGTTTTTAGTTTCCTGGCACCTTCAAGGTAAACATGTTAGCTAGTTAATAAAAAGCCGTTGGTTTCTGCCTAGTGTCAAATAAGGAGATAACGTGTTTATTATATTAAATTGGTATTCGCTAAACTATTTGACTGCGGTTGTTCTATCAATTTAAAATATTTACAGAATTTCTTGAAATTACGAAATTATTTTATCTATGATGGCAAACTTTGGCCGCAATATAAACTAAGCTTGTCAAGTACCTAATACATTGCTGTCGCTAGCGCTTATTCTGAAATGGATTTCCGATGGCGGTGGTTGTTGCTTATTAGCTATATTGTTGTACTATTCAAGAAATATGAAAAGTTTTTTTCACTGAACAGTATACATAAATATAAAAGATTAGGGGTGAAATTTGGAGAATCGCAGTGCTCATAAGCTGTGACGATGTTTAAATCCCCCAGAATTCAGAGGTCGACATAAATATTCTGTGAAATGAATTCACAAACTATAACGTCACAATATAAATCAACAAAGTTATATTTTTTATAGTCAAGTTCCTTTATAAGATCGCCTTTTTGACGATCCTTGAATGTAATTAAACGAATAAATTTTGTTATATTTGGACATCCCACTGCTCAACGGAAGCTTTTATTTTAAAGAGCCATCTTATTCTAAGACTTATTTATCACAATTCAATCATTGCTATTTTGCTACTTTTGTATTTAAAATTTAAAATCTTTCCACAAAATGTTAAACATAATAAAAACCTATTAGTGACTTTCATTTCACCACTTTCATCATTTCTGGTCAAACATAAAGTGTTGGACAATATGCTTTACTATTACACAAATAGTTTCAGGGCCTAGGTCTTAACATTTCAATGTTGGCTAGTGTCGTGAAACTTGAAAAACGGAAACTCCCGTAGTATGTGCACCATGTTAGGGTTAGGCCCTAATTTGATTTCGATTTTCCGTATTTTAGTTTTATAACAAGTTCGGCGACTGTCTGTATTAGCCAAGTGAATATACCGCCTTTCCATAGATTTCAGTCCCTTTACACAACTCGGTGTAAAGTAGGCGAACAAAATTAGTTACCTCCATATTGGTACACACCATTTTGAAGCGCCGAAAAATGTTGCAAAATGCTCAAGCGTAGTTTCTTATTTGGTGTAATTATGTATTGCATTTTCCTTGATAGTATTTAGATGTTTCTACTGTCTTGAATATTCTGAATTTATGCGTATATCAGTGGTATTTGATTCGACTCCCTTGTTCAAATATAACGAGGATGAAGTCATTAAACATTTTTCTGTAATACCACAGCTAGATTCCCTCCAATGGTGAATTCTTTTTATACAAGTCAAATGATACATTATCTCAAGTATACGCTATGTAGTCTGTAGTGTAAGTTTCTATACAATCCATATAAGAGTCATACTGGAATACTACAGTTTAGTTTGAACCTTATTAAAATTCCCAACCAGTTTTTACCAAATATGCACTTATGAACTTTTAATCTACGGTCCTCATATGTTTTTAATAAATATTGAACTCGTATTTGTAATATTTTGCTTGGGAATGCGCCGTTTGTTTGCCTTTTCGACCACAGGTGTGTTTTGTGTGGTTATCGCACTGAGTTTCTAAAAGGTATGAGTATGAAGCGCATTCGTGACTCACGGTCGCAGTATTTCCAAACCGTTCTTTATAAATGAAACGTCAATTCTTCTCATTACTTGACGCGAGGCTGTTTTTAATACATTTGCCATTTCATGAAGTTCAAGATTCAGTCTTTATTTTGGCAGAAACCAACCTATATACTAAAGTTTAATAAATTCTTTAGCTTTGCTTAGTCATTATGGCTGATCGGAATCGTTCACGTGATCTCTTCGAACCAAACAGCACCAGCAGCACTAGGGATTTGTCCAAAAAGATTTGTTTTAAAACAATTGTTTCAAATCATGTTTTTTGCCTGGTTTGTTCAAAATGGCGGTTGTACTTTTTTTTTTGTATTAAATAGGTCAAGGGCGGGCAAACCCTTAACCCTTTCATTGAGCAGCTGCGTCTTTCACCAACGGTTGGGCGCCGATTATCGGAACGCTACCGATACCGTAACGAAGTGTTTGCTAAATGTCTGGTAGAAAGAGAAGTTGGATATGGTCTCTTTACCGGGAAATTCCACCTAACACAACGGAAGGTGAACCTCATGGCAGGAGGGCTGTGTGCAAGTATTGCGACGAAAAACATTGTAGGAATAGTGGATCGCATGATTGACCATTCATACGTGAGTCTATTTGTGTTTACATTGTTATTTTAGTATTTCTGATGCTAAACTTGATTGCCCCAAGCGTCTAAGTACTAATACACTGGATACAGGTAACTTATAGTACCTTACCGGTATTTATTGCCATACAGGAATAACTTGCGTTAAGAACACGCTCGCTGTGGCACCCCTGATTCATACCAGGACAGAACCACTGTGGTGTTAACTCGGTGCCGTAATCTGCTTCCCTGGTGCAATTCCAACTCTGTGGATTAACCATCTATTTCTAGCTAGGCTATGCCCAGCTTCATTTTAATCCAATTATAATATAATTTACAGTACCCTGGTACCGGTAGGTCAGTATGTAGGCTACTTACGTAGGAAGTTCTATGGGCTAAAAAGTTTGTACTGGTATGGTCTATCCATCTGTTTTACCCCACCCTATATCTAAACAAATATAAAAAAAAAGAATCTTTTCTGCTTTTCAGAGCTGGACCAAAACACCACAGTGCATGAAAGATTATTCAACAATGAAAAGCCAAATGGGCGACAAAATGCGCTAAAATTGCTATTGCATTTCATTTCCATCACGTCCTATTCTGTAGCAGTATTAGATAAAAAAAAAAGAGTGGTTTTATCACATGGCTTCACGTTTAATTAGCAGCCGGGCATGAGTATGGGGATTTGGCCGACTATTTTGCAATTATCCGTATGCCTGAAAGTGGTTAGCACGAAAACCGACAGGGGTCCTGCGATGGCGAGTGGTTCAGCAATTTACTCGCACATTGACCCATGGGATTTCATCATAGGTTAGGAACTTCGTGTAAGTTGCCGCTCAGCCAAGTTCATACTCAAGTTATTGCACACTTTAGTTTCACCAATTTCACATGACGAGAATGCCTCAGGTCCACTTGTTTTGGGGTTGCGTTTAGTGGTTCCATTACATTTGAACCCACGACAATTGGACCTATGAAATTTTTCCTTGTTTTACGGATATTTGAACCCATACTAACCCATGGGTTTTAGCACCCACATATAGATTGAACCCGCGGATATACGCATAGGTTCAAATGTACGGTCACCGAGTTCAGCATGCCCGTGGACTATGTTTCGCGAGTCTCTTACTTTGTTTACTCAGGCATGTCTCTGATAATTTGAATGAACATTGCAAAACAAGCTTCTTTTTTTTGAAAATCGAAAAATAACAAAACCTAATCAGAGCAGCTTGCGGCCATTAAATACTAGAACAATTATAACAATCTTTCTAAATTGTAGGTTTTGTCGTAACGAATATGAATTTCGGTGTCTTTTCTTCTGAAAAAAAATTGAACATGACATATATACATAAGAACCATATATAAATTTACCCTACTTAGTTTTCCTGAAGAGGGAGGTCCATTTGTGAGTGTCAAGTAGGGCTGTCCAAAATCGAATAATTTTTTGATTCGAATCGAATATTTTCGCCGAATCGAACCGAATAATCGAATATTATTGCGCAATAGTAAATCTGTCTCTATTATACAATAAACGCCTGCCCTTCGATGTTGTGGTAACGTATGTGCAGTTACATCAAAGAAGATCACACGCTTGTATGAACTGGTCAAAAAAATTGGAGAACTCCAAAATTTGGGTCTCGAAAACTGTTGAGTGTTAAGAGTAAAAATTGCACTATTCAAAAATTGCAATCTCAATTTTGATGGATTCAGTTTTAGTAGGACATATAAAGCTTGTAGATGCTATTTTAATCCTATTCACTAGTCTTTATGTTTTTTTGTGTAAATTTCAGCAAAATAATAACAACCATCAATATAGATAAAACTGTTGCTCAAGTTCAAAATTGCATTTAAAAATTCCAAGCTAGTTTGATGACAATATTATTTGAGGACTATAATATTGTTAGTGTACAACAGCCATCAAAATGCAAGAGTGCAATTATTTGTCTTGGTATATAGATGGATAATACAGTAATGCCATCATGAGAAATTACAAATTCCATTTAAAGAAGGTATTGCCATCATAAGGATCCCAAAACACCTGTTTCAGCTTTGAGTTGCCTGTACCATGTTCCTATGATAACTAACTCAACAGCTTCAAATCGATTCTATTTATAGAACTATTGTTTTCTAAATTGTCTCCTTTTTCTCCTTGTTCTCTCTCAAAAACGTCACGATCGACTATACCTTGTTATGATGACCACGCATGAAATTGCTAATCACGTGCCACCGGGCGGGCATTAGTAATGACATGTTTATCACAAAATGAAGGCGAGAGAAATATCGGGAAACCAATTAAGCAAGCCGGGAGCGAGAGTGGTCTGAGCTCGGAGCGCCGCCGCTTTCCCGATGAAAAACATCCCGTAAAGGTGGTTTCCGCTTTATGTACCGGTACCTAATTTTAGCGATTCGAAAATTAGCCGAAAAACGATTCGAATAATTTGCGATTCGATTCGATTTCGAATATTTGGTTCGCTTGAACAGCCCTAGTGTCAAGTATTTCATCCATGGTGTAATCAGATAAAATAGTATGACCTCGAATGATATTGTTTCATGAATTGTATTTCACTATTGAGCATCAATTACATCCATTTTTTTTCAATATATTATTAATATATAAAACATAGTTGATATGTACTGTTACAGAATTATTCATCCCATCATCATAAAAATACACATGCATAGGCATATATAAAAACAATCAATTATTGTAAATATTTTAAAAGTTTCCATTTTCGATCATGTTTTTTTTTCGATTTTGGGTTTTTTGTATGCAATGTACCGTTCAATTTCTTTTATCTCAGACAGATATGTGGTAAAACATTGAACAGAAGTTTATTTTTGTATCTTACCACGATATAGGTGAAAACGGACAGCAAGAAGAATACAATTACACAATTCATTTATTATAAAAATACCTAGCATATTCCAACATGCAATGTCTTCTGGAAAAGTTGAAATTTATTCCTGTTTTTGAATATATCCACATGTTAAGAGATTCCCAAAACGGCTGAACAACTATATACAATCACAAAAAGGTGGCTAGTTGTAAAGTTGGAACGTGAATTCCAATCCACTCAACGTTGTTGTAGTGCACCCGCACCCGCCTTGAAGAATTATACGCGATTTCCCAGCTCCTAGTAACTGCACAACCAATGTAGTAAAAAGGAGATCCTTAGAAAACGAACTGTATTCAACAATCTCCACATATGAGTAAAATGTTGCTACAGCACAGAAACTTGAAAACCAACGATAAAACTAATTTATAACGACACGGATGCACTAGAAATAAGCAATAAAAGAATGATAAAATACCATTCACAATAACATGCAATATTAAACCAATACTAATGAGGACCTAACCAAGCTGAACTTTTCGATATAATCCATTCAATATTTGGTATTCAGCCAATTAATTTATAATGGTCCGGATACTAATTTGCATTTTCTTTTTTTACATTCATTACATAATATAGCGAGTTACGATTTACGCAATATGCACGCCACCTAGGGTGGAACAGTTGGCATTTCTAACTTTTAGCTCTGTCTGGCAAAACTATCGCTATGCAGCTAAAATTATTGCTTACTGCCTCCGCGGATCAGACTCATCATTGGCATTGGCGCGTGCTGACACAGGCTGTGTTATTACGGTACTTATCGATCTTTAGATCGGTAAGTATGTTGATAGGTATTTGTCTGTCTGTTAGATGCACGCGATATCTCACGAACGCGTGGTTGATTCTGCTCCAAATTGCATGTGCAACCGCAGTTTCGATCGATATGTCTTCGGTCTCCGACCGATATTCTCGTCTTATACTTTACCACGTTCAAGTGAATTTAAGTAATTTCATATGCCTCAAAAGTACTATAGTACTATGTCCTTATATGATGAGAATATTTTATTTGATAATTATTTAAAAATAACACACACTGTAACATGATAACCGCGATTAATTACCTGTGCCGGAATATCACTATTTTTATCTTTATACATCGATGGTGGATTAAAATGAATAGAGTGTTAACTACATCCAGTGTTAACTACATTCTTCTCCGATTTTGTATATATATATATATATATGTAATGACTGCGAAGATACAACAAGAAATAAAAAGGAAAGCTGTATTGAGTAGATTCAAAGCACCGTATCACGCTTCTAAAAATGTGTTCAGATTCTCAACGTTTCGTTTAACCAAGGTCAATGTAAATTGATTTCCTTGATAAGTCTGTCTAACTCTAGAACAGCGGTTCCCAAACTATGGGTCGAGACAGTGGCGGCGCGTCAATAGGGCCAACCGGGGCAATGCCCCGGTTGTTTTTTCGGTATAATAAAAAATATTCGAAAAATACCTCAATATCGGTTGCACAGACTGTCTACACTAGCCATATTCTCCCGACATGGTTCATTTTTTGCTCGCAAAGCCTTCGCCGAACGTCGACGGGGCGACGCCGATTTTGCCCCGGTTGCTCATTGTATATCATATTCTCTCTTTTATCTTCCACTCGCCGCGTTTGTCTCGTCTGTTTTCTGTTTCTTTTACTAAATCATCGGGGCCGATAGAGGCTAGCCCCGAAATTATGACGACACAATGCCGACGTTTCTTATAACAACGTGTTGACCTATTCACGCATTCCTTCTCGTTCGTTGGTTGCTTGAAGAGTTGATAGTTTCCTCGCCTTTGTTTTTGTCGCTTGTTTCGCTATTTGAATCAGTTAGAGACCTTTAGTCCATTTGCTTTCGATTTTCCACATTCCTTTTGAGCTCCTCACTTCTTTCCGGCTTCGCATTTCTTAGCCTTAGACCTCATAATGAATAAGGTTGATGCACTACTTCGCACTCCGTTTTCGCAACTGCCGCTGGAACAAAAATTAGAGGTACAACGTCTTGGGCCTTATCAACCAAAAAATTGTTCACTGGAACAATCCCATGACGGAGGAAAGCGTCGGCGTACATTCTGCGCAGAAACTTGGTATAAAAAACACGAATGGTTGTGTTACAGCGAGGACAAAAATGCACTTTTTTGTTTTTATTGCCTACTTTTTGCTACCGCCCGTGACTCACGTTGGTGTAAATTTGGTTTTAGAGATCTTAAACATCTTTCCGAGCGTGCCAGGGATCATCAATCTTCTATGGAGCAACTGGACAATGCAGTAAAATACCGAACATTCGGAAATGTTAATATTGCAGCACAGTTGGATGAAGGACGCGCGGTTTCTATTCGTCGGCACAACCAAAACGTCGAGAAAAACCGCCATGTTCTCGGTCGATTGATAGATGTTTTGAAGTTCATTGGTTGTCACGAGCTGTCCCTCCGTGGGCACGATGAACGGGCTGGCTCTTCTAATAGAGGGGTATTTTTGGATATGGTGGAATACACCGCATCCCTAGATACAGTATTGAGAGATCATCTTGATGCCGCAACTGTTTCGAAAGGGACATCTAAGGATATCCAAAATGATTTGATCGACTCAATGTATAAAATTTATTTACAACATTTGGCTCTGAAAATTGAGAATTGCCAGTTCCTTTCGATTCAGTCTGAGGAGACAACTGACATCACGTGCGTTTCCCAACTGGCTGTGATTTTTCGGTTTGTGAAAGATGGTAAACCTACCGAGAGATTTCACAGCTTTGTACCAATCGTTGATCGCACGGCTTGCGGGATATCGGCTGTACTGAAAGAAGTGTTACAGCCTTACAACGCGAAGTCAAAATTGATAGCTCAAACTTATGACGGCGCGGCAGTCATGAGTGGGTCGAAACATGGTGTTCAAGTTTATATAAAAGAAGATTTTCCTCATGCGCATTTTTTACATTGTTATGCACACCAATTTAACCTCGTTATTAAAAATATGTCTTGATACCCCTCTCGTCCGTATATTTTTTGCAAATGTTTCGGGGTTTTCTTCATTTTTTTCCGTTTCGCCGAAGCGCTCTGACCTCCTTCGCCAGATATGTAGCCGCCGTCTCCCAGCTTGTGCACCAACACGTTGAAACTTCCAACCACGCGTGGTGCAGGGCGTGTCCGAAATTAGGTCTGAGCTCATTGAGTGTTTCAATGGCATTCAGAGCTCTCCGGTTTGGGACGAACGCTTTGTGAGGGAGGCGGCAGGCCTAAAGCGTCTGCTAGAAGATGGTGAGTTTTCATTTTTTCTCGCTTTTTTTCCCACAATATTCTATCACGTGGATGTATTATACGGCGCATTGCAGTCAAGGCTAATGGATGGAGCGTCTGTGCAGTCGTGTATTTCAGACTTCTGCGATGCTGTATCTCGTATCCGGGAAACAATAAAATACGACGACACATGGAGTGCTTCTTTACGCCGCGGGCAAACAACGCAGCGTTTGATTTTGTCTGCAAAGGAATGCTGTGACATTCTGGTGAATCAAATAGGCGATCGTCTGTGCACTGAACACCTTGCCGCGTTCTCTTTGATGAACCCCAAAAATTTTTCAAAATTTGCACGTCAATTTCCCATCCATTTGTTGGCTACTGTCTCCAAATTTTACCCCATGATAAACGTGGGTAAATTGGAAAATGAATTGGGATGTATATACACCAATCAAACTTTTTTGAACATCACATCAACTTGCGCGCTCTATGGGTTCCTCATAGATAACACTCAAGTAACTACCTTTGCGGCGTCTGCAAAATTTCTGGACATCATTTTGACGACGCCTATTTCTTCCGCCGACGCAGAGCGAACATTCAGCACGCTGAAGCGTATTAAAACGTATCTCAGAAACACAATGAAGCAAGATAGATTAAATTCCTTGGCTGTTTTATCCATTCACAGAGACGTTATTTCTGGGATGCATGACTTTAATCAGCGCGTTATTGAGCATTTTGCTTCCAAGAAACCGCGGCGTGTTGCATATATGTTCAAGCTGTAGAAGTCTAGCAGCATATATATCTATGAGTGAGCGACGCATGTCCTTATCTTTGCATTCTCTTTCCTTTCTTCATAGTAACGTTTTAAACCTTATTTTAGGTTTTGTCTGCTTTCCCGAAGTTTCTGTTAATATGTCATTGTATTTATCTGGGTAAATATTGCCTTTCCTTTTGAAAGAGGTTTCAAAATAAACTATGTCTATATTTATTAATCCCTTGACTTGGACCGGTTTTGAAGACACTTTCTTATCGTTAAAAATTGTCGCTTTTGCCGATTGGTTGTTACCGATGGAATGGTTTTTATACTCATAAAATGATGGGAGAACTCACAGCGCTCATCCTGTCCCCGTAGATGGGGGTGACTTGGTCCCGCAGTAGCTTGCCCCGGTTGTCAAAATGACCACGCGCCGCCACTGGGTCGAGACCCACTGGTGGGTCGCAAAAGGAATCTTAGTGGATCGTGAAAAGATGTAGCAAGCTTTGATTAAGTATTCTGGTTATTAAGATCGGTGGCGACTCGAATACGTAAATCTTCAAAAAAAACAAGAGAAATTAAATTGAATTTAAATTATAATCTGTGAAAGTTTCCTTTTTACGGTCTTCTCAAAGAAACAAAAATTTGGTACACAAAGAATGACCATGTGGCTTTTTTACGCATAGCAGTTTTGTACACTGTACAGCACTTCTTACCGTGTTTCCCCGAAATTTAGACAGAATTTAGATTTATTTTCTTAGGAAGAAGCTGTAAGAAGCCATAGGCTGTGGTAATAAATATTGGATCCAAACTCTAAAAAGTTTGGGAACCACTGCTCTAAAACGTTCCAGAAAAAATGTGAAAGTGTGATACAAGACTTTTAAACACTCACACATCACATTTTTCGATTAATGAGTAAAAATATTTAGGCGTTAAATACTTAAGTTTTTCCTGAAATCTCTTTTGTATAATTTCAATAATCAGGTCGTCAGTGTTCGGTCAAGTAATGATTGACAAAATCGGAGACATTGACGAATAATATTTACTTTCACCTGCTTCTGTTTCTGCTTTAAATAATCAGTCAGTATAACGTTAATTTATTATATATTTATATTAATGCCGAATTTGAAAAGCTAGCGGTACTCCACGCGATGCCTTCTGCTAGCACTTCCTTACTATATGTTAAAATATAAACTTTGTTGCCTTATTAGGTGACAACTACATTTTGTTCCTGTCATATCGGCGCGTGTCATTTTGTGATGTCAATTGTCAATAAATGCAATCAATTTATATCAGTAATGTTCAATAGTTGGCGAACTCAACCACGCGTGGGCACTGAGGAGCGGCCTGACTGGATGTGAATAAACCTAATATCGAAAAAGAGACGCACGAGAAAAAAGTAAGCAACGTCTGGAGACGTCGCGTCGTATTCTTGGTTTGACATCACATCTGAACGGAGACGCACAGAACCATGCTTTCATGATGATGGCTGTAGTACAGATGCCTAACGGGAGCTATTTGGTTGAATCGCGAAAGAGGCCTTTGGAAGAACCTAGCGAGCTTCTCGACCTAAAGCGTGAAAAGACTGCTGCCGAAGGTTAGTTAATGACTAGAACGAAAATTACGATTGAGATATGAAATGAATGACTACATTTCATTGCTGTGGGGTATAATGATAAGATCAGAAAGAAAATAACGAGAGACCGATGGAATGATACTAAATTGAAATGGCAACATAATTTAATGTACTCTTTTCGTTAGATGACTGATGAATCAATGTATAATCAATTTTAATTAAATCAAGGTCATTTTTTTGCATTTTCCTTAGCGATCGCCGTCTTCCTAATCTACTATTTCGGCTAAATGTGATGTTTGTTTACCAAGACGCTGCGTAGCGCTGTGCGGGCGAGTTCAATGCGGACGAGATTGTAGATAAGAATCGTATTTAAAGTCGTTATGAAAATATTCCATATGGTTGGTCACCGCTGGTCAGTTATTAGCACGCGCTTTGATATACTTACCATTAGCCAACAGACAGCAGAATTAGATAGCTCGCATTATTGATTGATTCAATGCACAGTGTCACCACGACATGCTATGAGCGCGTTTCATTTTAAGAATATTTAGTCACGATATTTAGTCTGGTTCAATATTCATTCCGTGGACTGATTTTTGTTTAGATACTTTCATACCATAGTACTCAGTGTATTATATTGGGTAGTCTTTGGCATATATATATTGGTAATAAAATGACATTCTTTATGGCATCACGACCGCGCCTTTCTTGCAAGTAATACAGTCGCGTTGTAAAAGGATCCGAATGTTTGGCTCGGTCGTAAAACATAGGAACAAACTAAACAAGCGAAGACGCTGCCTGTTTGGTGGTAGCCGTGACGTAATCTCCGCAAATTTGATACAAACAATAGGTTGCATGCTGAGCCGTTGTCATTCGTCAGTTTCTGTGTTAATTCTACAATAAAAGTAGGACGCGACGGGAGAGTTTCATCATTTCATCTGTCGTCGATTTCGCCAATTACCCGCTCAAGTTCTTTAGAACTATCTATATGACAATCAAATATTTCATTTTACATCCCAAATGACCGACGTCGAATGGAATACTTTTTATCCGGGGGCTAAATTGGGCATAAATCGTAATATTGATACCGGTTGAGATTTTTGCTATCATATCAAAGTAACCTATTCATCGGTTTACAGTCGCCCAACCTTATCTTTTATATTGTACTTATTTGACTTGAATCCGCTTTGTCTGACAAAAGTTTTGAGTAATTTTGCGAACAATTACCCCACTTGTCGCGTGGGTTTCTTACTAAACCCCGTTCGCCTCATTAAATTGCATTAACCAAATTTCGAGCGAAATCAAATACCATTTTGGAGCCCCGTCCTGCTTACGTTTATATTGAAAATCATTGAGGCCTCCCGATAAGTCTTATTGTTTCCAGAGTGGCTTCGCTAACCATCGCTAACTAATTGCAGAAGGAGGTCTTGTTGTAACAGGTTATTCTCTTTCGAGAATTGACCATATTGGGCCATACTTCTCTGGCGCATTATCCGTGGTCGGTAATTGTGAGTATAGATATTTTGCGACGCAACTACAACTGTTTCATGGAAATTTTCGCTAAAAGCGAGTTCGTATTGTTAAAAGATATTAGTAAAATTTACTGCCATTCAACGAATAAGCATAAAATGCGCTAAATTCTACTTAAATTCATAATTTTTCACTAATGAAATTCTGAATACTTTAAGAGTAATTATCAGATGAGAATTTGGGTTAGGTAAAGGCACACTTCTTAATTTTCATCAAAAAGCATTCAGAGCTGCTTTGCATTTTCGCACTAAACTAATTTGTTATACATACATCATTTAAATGGTATAAAATACAAGTAAGTTATGCGCCTGGGTTTAACAGCATTAAAGACAGTAGTCAGTCTTATGTAAATCAAGTCACGCCGTAAACAAATTGAGTCATAATGCAAGATATTTTGCATTACGTTTTCCTCAGTCATGTGCGCAATCCGATTCCATAATTCAACAGTAAAACCTGTAACAATGAGTGGAATTTCAATGTATACAGTGTATACATATACACCACTTCGTATTCCGACAATGTCATTTTCTTGATAAACAGACATTATTGCGTGCTTTATCGAGTATTTTCATGTTTTTGTATTACACAAGAGTACTTTTTACCAAATGTTTCAGACGGCAAGTGCATTTCGCTCGTTTATGGATTACGTCTGAATATCGATTACCTAACAATTTGTTAAAACGACAAAACGGTAGAAAACAGTTCAAATAATGAGAAATCTGAAGGGTTGTTGTTTCTGACCGTGGTGTGGTGTCCAGTGTACAAACAAATGTGCAAAATGTGAAAGAATATTAACCTTGCAACTGGTATATATCAGGGTTAGATATACAAATTACAAATTGAAGTCATTCAACGACTAAAACATTCATGCAAGTATAATTATTCAATTATTGGCATTGTTGGCTTCTCACGAATAACTTTTTTTGAAAGCGACTTGATGACTATAGTCTTTTCATCAAAATGCTTGTGTCATAATCAGCCATTGGAATAGCTTTTTTCATTACTTTCTACCCCATGGCACATATGTTTATGGCAAACTCAAAGAGAACCAAAGTCATATGAACCATCTTTGTTTGCATCGATAGTAAAAGTTATTAATATTATTATTTGTATTAATTGACCGACTACGATTGAGTTAGAGATCATTTTTCATTGCATTCATCCTGACACCAAAAAGGAAGTGTCGCATGCACTAGTAGCGAGCGCTTCATACAATTGTCGCTATTTGATGAGTCTGCCATTTTTTTTACAATCGTCATAAAAACAAAGAAACGGCCTAAGTATTCTGCTGACTGAATGAAGAAATATCGGTCATAGAAATAGTGTATATAACATGAGACAATATACAACTTGATGCCCAGTTCTGAGTTAGAATGTCGTTTATTTTTACTAATGTATAGTTCTTAGACGCGACGGTCGAATGACTGACTATATAATCCAACTGTTTTATAATTTTTAATCCGTTTTTTAATTTTACGTCACAAGAAAAAACAACGTTTTAAACTTTAACTTATCCTTGTAATTAATTTCCCGAATAAGATTTCTTTATAAGATCTCGAACTTAATCTATTATTGATTTTAACTTGTTTGAGATCTAACATCTTGGCGCTTCAGACGACCAAAAACTGTTGATATAACCAAATTAATATCAAATGATGAACCATAAGCAGTATTCTACGGTGTCCAATGCACGATTCGGCTGGCTCAAATGGCATATTATATATTGATTGGACTCTGTCTGCTCCTTTCAGATGAGATTGCTGTATGAATTGCCTTATTCTGCGAATCGTAAAAGCATTTCCGTGTCGCCATTGCCTAAAATTAGATTGAAGTTGCAAAATTACTTCGACGTTGCCAAAAAGTTTCATAAACGCTTAGCACAGCGTCACATGCTGACCTGTAGTTGCGTGGACGTTGCGTGGACGTCACGACGCTCGACCAAAGACGTCTAATGTGCATTTAAATTGGTGTTGGTATTTTAGTTAAGATAGTCTACAAACAAAATTTTATTTAGAGTTTTCAATCCTATTTGGGGGTAGGGGGTAAGGCAGTTAGTATTTGCATGAGAATTAAGTTTAAAAAACATCATTGAATAGATTTCTGCAAAAAATGATGGGGAAAAATAGGATGTTTATGTACTCCGATTTCATATGCAATTTGTTGACTGCATACGTCTAATAGACGAGATACAATAAACGTATATAGCTTATTATAGCGTTAGATAATGATAAAGAAAATATTGTATTGGATATTTGGCGTTAAATTTCCTAGGACAACGTTTGAAAATACCGTTTGGTATTAGTGAATCTGAATAATCAAGTTATACTATGCATCATAAGCATCATAGTATTCTCCAGTTAGGAGCATTATACGAGTGGCTTCGATGGTGTACTCGATCAATGACCTTTATTCGTTATTAAAACAATAGTTTTGGCCATAAATGTATTGGCTTCTTGTACTGAAATGAATATTCTAGTTCGACCATGGGTATGGGTATGAGTGAGTGGAAACTGAATGATATTCAAAACATTTCTGCCTTGCGTTAAAGGAGAAATTCTTCCATCTGTTTTTAATTGTTATAAGTCAATGTTTACTTATTTGCGAACACGAATTTGTGAATATTACACCGCTGCGTTTTCGTCATTTTGATAGCTTCTTTGTCACCACTATCTAATGTGTTGAGTACTGGACACGACTCTTCTGTATTCGAAATTCACTTCGTCGTCGCGAACTCGACCAGGAAATGGCATGATATGACCTGTATTGTAACTTGTAATGGTTAAATGCATTTACACATCGACGAAATGTTTAGCCTATTATGTAGATTTTAGTATTAATTAAGTTACATGTCTCAGTGAAGTAACAAATCTTATTATTGGAATCTGTATAAAAGTTCAGCTGAAGCGTGTTTGGAAGCTAAGGCATGTAGATGTAGTCAAATCTTTACTATATACCACCAAAAGAAGCATGTTTCATAAATTTTGATCTAACTATAGGATGTCGGGGGCATAGTTGACAAAGGAGGGATAGAAGGAAAATTGGCATCTATCAGAAGCTTTGCCTATTCTGAATTGATGTATTTTGCTATGTAACAAATAGACTTCCTACTTGACAAAGTAACTTCCTATTCTTGTCCATGAAGATAGATATAAAATGATATCATTATTCAGGTTGTAAACCATTGTGACAGATGAATGAAAACTATACTTATCATGGGGTGAAGTAAAGTTGCAGAGCAGTCTTAGAAAGCCAGATTAGTTTGTTTGGATGACAGTCGTGAACACTCAACAACCATGGCGTGAATCGAAAGGAATTTTGTTTAATGCAAGCTGTCTTGTTGCTGGAAAATCGATACTCTGTGCACAATACAATGCTTTTCTTTGGACAAAAAATCGCTAGCTCGCTGTCAATCTACTCACTACTGTTAAGCATTGGAACGGCTAATTGAGTTTTGTCGAATCATTCATTCATGTGCAATTCTTCTGTGATCC